CTTTTATATTTATCAATTTTTCTTAAATTATCCCTATGAATATTCTCTCAATGATAATCAAGTAAGAGAGAAAAGAAGAATATTAAACAAAATAATTATGGTGTTTTTTAAAAAAAAAATCCATACCATATTTTTCTAATTAATCAACTTATCTAATTTTTTAATCTAATTAAATTAGTTAAATAAAATTTATATTAAGAAGTGGAGGAGTATTAATTTATTGCAGTTCCCGTTGCATTCTTTTATCAGTCATCTGTTTTTTTTTTTTTAATTAGGAGTTATTTTTTCCTTATAACGACCAATTCAACTATGTTAAGATCCCGAGAGTACAAATATTCGAATAATGTGCATTATTCCTTTCGAAAAGTCAAATGGACCAAAATTTAATTGCGTTATATACTGCTGGCAAAAAAAAAAAATTGCGTTATATACTCCTTAAATTAATATTTACGTTATTATCAATATGTATAATTCCATATGTGCATTATGCGCTGTATTCAGATTTTGTCGAAAACAAAGGCATATACTTTACTAAAAGTCAAAAGATAGGTTCTCGTTATTTTTTCTGGGTGACTGATTCTTATTATTTTTAAATTTTATTCACTCTTTGGGTTGCTTTTAATATACTACCTCCGGTCTTAATTATAAGAGTCAGTTAACTAATTTGAGAAGATTAAAGAAGTAAGTTGAGTTAGTTATTTATCCTAAATAGGTATTGTTTTTTCTAAAATATCTTTGCTAATCAAGTATATTGACTAGAATTATCATTGTTAGAAGGGTTACTTTGAAAAAAAATATATAAATATAAGAGACAAAGTGGATTGGGATATAATATTTAAGATTAAAATAAAAATCAAACAAATTCTTATATTAAGGACCGGATGTAGTATTATTGAACGGCTTCCTATCTATCTTCTAGTCAGACAATAAAATATTTATTTCCTGGTTATATTTTAAAAAAGAGCAAATGGTCAAATTTACTTATTGTAATACTAAGAAGGAATACCAGACACTGTAATAAAATATTGGAAGTAAAAATGCTCGTAAAATTTTTAAAACAGAGCAAAGTTCCACATTATTGTCCAGATGTCGTCTGATACAATCTCGTTCATACACCCTCCAATCACAATGCACCAAGTAATTAATTTAGTCCCACCTGTCATACTCTCTCTCTCTCTCAAACTTCTTGTTTTAAATGGTTATTTAAAAAAAAAAGAAGGGAAAATTTCACTGTAGCACCGCAGAAGACAATTAATATCAAAGAGCCCCCAAAACTTTCTGAAACCTCACTGCAGGACTAAGGGACCAATCTGATATTAATTTTTAGAGTGAGATTACAATAATACCCTCCCTTTTTATTTTATTAAAAAATAAATATTTACCGGAGTTACTGTTCCGGCCACCGGAGGTCGGAGGTCCAGCCACCAGCGCTCAGGTGGCCGCCGTCGAGGTCCGGTCACCGGTGGCCGGAACAGTAACTCCGGCGGGACCTCCGGTGGCCGGAGTTTTTTTGTTTAAAACAAAGTGGCCAGGGGAGGGTTTGAACCCAGGACCCCTTGGCACACCAAAAGAGTTGTAACCACCAAGCCAAGCAACCCATTCAATTATAAAATGCAAATAAAACTACATATAACAAAATAAACGCAACAGTCCAAATGTAAGTGAACAAGTGAAATTAGACGATTTACAAGTGGAATTCAGAAATTTGCAACAAAAGTTAGGCAATTTACAAATAACATAATAGAAGTCATAACCCAAAATGCAAGTATTTAGGTGCAAATGAGCAAGTAAAATTTGAAGATTTACAATAAAAGTTTATGGATTTACAACCCAAATTTGGCAAACACAAGAGAATTCACAACCCAAAATGTAAGTGTTTGAGTGTAAGTGAACAAGTGAAATTAGACGATTTACAAGTGGAATTCAGAAATTTACAACAAAAATTAGGCAATTTACAAATAACATAATGGAACTCATAATCCCAAATACAAGTGTTTAAGTGTAAATGAGCAAATAAAATTTGAAGATTTACAACAAAAGTTTATAGATTTGCAAGTGAAATTCGACAATTTCACTTGCTCATTTGCCAAACACTTGCATTTGGGGTTATGACTTCTATTATGTTATTTGTAAATTGTCTAATTTTTTTGTAAATTTTAAATTCCACTTATAAATCGTCTAATTTCACTTGTTCACTTACACTCAAACACTTACATTTTGGATTGTGAATTCTCTTGTTTTACCAAATTTGGGTTGTAAATTCATAAAATTTTATTGTAAATCTTCAAATTTCACTTGCTCATTTGCACTTAAACACTTGCATTTGGGGGTATGACTTCTATTATGTTATTTGTAAATTGTCTAATTTTTGTAAATTGCTGAATTACACTTGTAAATCGTCTAATTTCACTTGTTCACTTACACTCAAACACTTGCATTTTGGGTTGTGAATTCTCTTGTGTTTGCCAAATTTGGGTTGTAAATCTATAAACTTTTGTTGTAAATCTTCAAATTTTATTTGCTCATTTACACTTAAACACTTGTATTGGGATTATGAGTTCCATTATGTTATTTGTAAATTGCCTAATTTTTGTTGTAAATTTCTGAATTCCACTTGTAAATCGTCTAATTTCACTTGTTCACTTACACTCAAACACTTGCATTTTGGGTTATGACTTCTATTATGTTATTTGTAAATTGCCTAACTTTTGTTGCAAATTTCTAAAATTCCACTTGTAAATCATCTAATTTCACTTGTTAACTTACATTTGGACTGTTGCGTTTATTTTGTGTTATATGTAGTTTTATTTGCATTTTATGATTGAATGGGTTGCTTGGCTTGATGGTTACAACTCTTTTGGTTGTGTGTGCCAAGGGGTCCTGGGTTCAAACCCTCCCCTGGCCACTTTGTTTTAAACAAAAAAACTCCGGCCACTGGAGGTCCCGCGGAGTTACTGTTCCGGCCACCGGTGACCGGACCCCGACGGCGGCCACCTGAGCGCCGGTGGCCGGACCTCCGACCTCCGGTGGCCGGAACAGTAACTCCGGTAAATATTTATTTTTTAATAAAATAAAAAGGGAGGGTATTATTGTAATCTCACTCTAAAAATTAATATCAGATTGGTCCCTTGGTCCTGCAGTGAGGTTTCAGAAAGTTTTGGGGGCTCTTTGAAATTATTTGCCTTCTGCGGTCCTACAGTGAAATTTTCCCAAAAAAAAAAACAGGCTCATTATTTCACCTCTCCTCTTGCTTAACGCTATGCCCATCTGCCATCTCCTTGACCGCTCACTATGGTCAAATAAGTAGCAGCAGCAAGCTCAAAATTCCTATCCATTTCAATGGCAGCTTCAATATTCACAAGTAACTTGAACTAAAGCCCACCTGTTCCAAAACTTTCATGGTGATTGTCGCATTACTACTTGGACCCAACCCCTTCTCGTCCTTGCCGTTGACACCACCACCTTCTAACACCATCGCCAACGCCGCCACTCCTCCTCTGATCCCAATTTCCAAATACCCAACTCCTCGTAGATCCGTCAAATCCCAAAAAACCCCTCCGGAATCCTTAAAACCCACTTCCAGTTCTGCCTTAATGCACCATTGCAATTCCAAGTACTACAAACCTATCAACGATGGCGTTATTCTATCAGACGGTGAAGGTAAAGCCGCTAGCGATTCAGAGTGTCCCACTTTCTTCCTGGAGCCCTATTCAAATTCTAGTTTATTTAGTTATTCTGAGATGCCGACGGTAAAGCCGTTGGCGATTCGATAGCTGGCGTTCCTGCTGTTAGCGTCGCCTACAATGCCGAGGCTCGTCTGTCACCCCTCCATATTAGAAGGATTATTTGGGTTTTGATTTATGGTGCAGGTGGGAGGAGGACAGATGGAAGGAGGTGATGATGATCATGAAGGCACGGGGTGGGTGATGGCGGAAAAGCGGTGGTGATGTCATGATGAGGAGGGAAAGAACTTTTGTAATTGTTATATTTTTTTCCCCCTTTCTCAGTTAGGATGTCATTTTGCCATGTAAGAACCACATTTGTGTTTTTATCTCAAAATTTTTTTCTTTGAACAGTCAACATTGAAGTAATTAACAGCATGGTTATTTTTGCATCTTTTTTTAATGTTGATAGATATTTTTGCTTCTGACATTTTATCATGGTACCTGATGCTTATTTCTGATATTATAATAAGTAAATTTATCCTTTCACCTTTTAAAAATGATTTTAACTTAAAATTTTATAAATCTTTGAATTGAATCCTCAATTATAATTTTTTGAATAAAAAGTCATTGGACAATGGATGTTCCAAATATATTTTCTGCTCCCGTATTTAATTATTTGGGAAAAAGCTGCTATTTCTAGCTAGGCAAGGCAAGATATCACAACTCACAAGTAAAAGGAAACGCAAGTAGAAATAGAACAAGACATCAAATTTCAACCATCTTACTTAACAAAGTTGCAGAAAGAAAAATCAGTTAGACTAATTAAGTGAGACATAAATGTAGTTATAAGACGTGAACATAATTAAGATATAGAATTGATAAACAAATAAAATTTTCTTTAATTTGACTTATAAAAATATAAAAAAAACAAAATCTTTTATCCCTAAAAATTCAATAAAAATAAATTCACTCATAAAAGTCGCCCAAATCTTACTCAATAGTTCACACTGTCACACCCCACACTCCACAGCACACTACTCCTGTGATCCTAGTAATTTAGTATTGAACTTGAAATTCTGGCCGGAAAGTTACTAACAAGATACATGAATGTATCAAAAGTCAAAAGTTTCAAAATTAATGACTCTTTTTATCTCAAAATAAGGCACTAGGAATCGTCCTCTTTCTAAATAACTCACTAACACCAAAACCACCGGCTCACTAATCTTTCCTTTTAACCTCATTCTAAAGTCAACTATAACTCCAAATTAAAAACCCTATTTAATGTTCCCCTTTCCAAATAAAGCAATGAAACCAACCCTCCCAAAAGTCAACTCCCTCGTCCTTCCTCTTCTTCCTTCCCCCTGTTTCTCATATTCTCATGTTCTTCTTTCTCCTCCTTCCACTACTTATTCTTCGAAAGCTCACAACTTTGTGCTCTTGGCATTCCCGAAATGGGTAACGGTTTTGGAAAAATCTGCCTATGCTCCTCCGGTGTCGGAGAAATCTCCCGCCGGTACGAAATGTTTCCCTCCAATTCCTACGAAAAGTCTCTCGGCAATTCAATCTGCTACACTCGACCGGACCCATTTCGATTATCGTCCTGCTCCAATATTTTCTCCGACGAGGATTCCGCCACGCAGATGACTTTCAGATCAATCTCCGGCGCTTCTGTGAGCGCCAACTCTTCCACCCCACCTTCCATATATCTTGCCAATTCCTCCCAGCACGGAGCTTCTGCTTTTGATGCAACGGCATCGTTTGAGTCCTCCACTTCCTTCACCTCCATGCCCCTCCATTATCATCAGCCCCGTGGCTCCTCCGTTGCAAGCTCTGGCACGGTGTCCAGCCCCTTGGACGGAAGGTTCTCTTATTCGGGTTCGGGTCCTATCGGGGGGCTTGAGCCGAGATTGAATGGGAGCTCCCTTCAAGAAGAACAACAAGAATGCACTGAATCTGTAAAATTCAAAAGGACTTTATCTGATCGCAAAAATGGGTCTTTGATAAAACCCAATAATAGTTTAAAGAAGATTTTTCGGAGAGCGATTTCGAGCGTCACACCGATTAAAGGGGTGGTTTCGATCGGAGAGTCCACTTCAGAGAAGAAGAAAAACGATGAAGATGAGATCGAAAACGATGAAGGTTGTGCAGTGCAAAGTATGAATTTTCAGTGGGCTCAAGGAAGAGCAGGGGAAGATAGAATTCATATTGTGATTTCGGAGGATGATGGTTGGGTTTTCGTTGGAATTTACGATGGATTTAACGGCCCAGATGCCACTGATTATCTTCTGAACAATCTCTTTTGGTCTGTTCACGCTGAGTTGAAGGAGCTCCTCAGTAATGGCAATTCAGAATCAGCAAATGAAGAATGTTTGAGTCATTCTGATGTGCTAACAGCACTTTCGGAGGCATTAAGGAAGGCAGAGGACGAATTTCTGAAGGATTCTGATGATACAATAACGAAGGATCCAGTGCTGGCTATGATGGGTTCTTGTGTATTGGTGGTGTTGATGAAAGGAGATGATGTTTACGTAATGAATGCTGGGGATAGTCGAGCAGTTTTAGCTCAGAGTTCAGAGCATGGTTTGAATTCTCTTCAGCTCACTGTAGATCACGGCGCGAACGTGAAAGAGGTAATGCCCGGGACTTCTTTTTTTAAAAAAAAAGGGGAAAAACCATAAAGATGGTTAATTTTGAGATCTATTTTAAATCCCAGGAGGTTCAGAGAATTAGGAGGGAACACCCAGACGATCCTTCTGCAGTAACTAAAGGCAGAGTGAAAGGTCACTTGAATGTCACAAGGGCTTTTGGGGCTGGTTTCCTCAAGCAGGTAGTCTGATACATCCATGTTTAAAGCATCCCTAGTTCATAAGCACGGTCACAGAGTTTGAATTTAAGCATTGTAATAAGAATTAAATCAACAAACTAACAAAGATTTGGCTTGCTGACAGTGACTGAGGCAAGCCTTGGTTCAAAATCTACCTATGCGAACCATTAGTTTCATGCTTATTAATGAGCTAACCAAAAGCTTTTTGGGTTATTTTGACAGCCTAAATATAACAATGCAGTATTAGAGACATTCAGAGTGGACTATATAGGGGATTCACCCTACATCACATGCTCACCTTCTCTTAAACACCACACGCTCAGCCCTAGTGACAGATTCTTGATATTGTCCTCCGATGGACTTTACCAATACTTCACCAATGAAGAGGCAGTCTACAGAGTTGAATTTTTCATGACTTTGTATCCAGAGATAGATCCTGCACAACTTCTCATTGAAGAAGCTTTGGCCAGAGCAGCAACAAAAGCCGGTAAAAGCCCTTTTCTTCTGGAATTAGATTGTGGAATTCAACTCTCTGACGTGCTTGATGATAATGAAAATAAGGCGGAAAAAAGGGTTCTTTCATTATAATTGGATATGAACAGCTTTGACATGTGATTTTGCATTGCAGGTATGGATTTTCATGAGTTGCTGGAAATCCCACAAGGAGAACGACGTTTATTTCATGATGATATTTCCATTGTCATAATCTCCTTGGAGGGGAAAATATGGCGCTCATCAGCCTCGTATACACATTAAAAGGTGGATTAACAAGTTGATGGTAGAGTGTGATGTTTGGTTCAAATTTTAGGTATGAAAATCCGGAAGCCGATGTTGTGAGAAACTGGTTTGTGAATTCTTTGGATTGGAGATCATACAATAGGAATACACAGAAGTTACTTTGGAAAATACTAACACTAACAAGTTGGTCAAATTTCTGTTGGAAACAATAGTGTTTTTTTAACAATAGTTAAATACAACAATTTCATCATGACTTTTTTCTCCTCTTGTTGTTTCCTCTTTTTTTTGCTGTAACATCAAATTTAGTTTATGTTAATATGAAGAGGTGAATCACAATTGCTGATATGAAAATCAGGGCTTTTTCCTTTCCATGTCTGCTGAACTCAACACTTGGCAGAAACTTTGATATTTTGCTAAACTCAGTCAAGAAGAATAAACAGTTAAACACCTCTTAAAATTTCTAGTTGAAATGATCTCTAGTTTTTTTAAAAAAAATTGTGTAAATAGTATTTATTTCATTAATTAGCCTATTATTTTATTACTATTTTTAGTACTAAATATAAGAATGAATTTGTAGTGTAATTTACACCATAGATTAGATCTTATATTTATGACTGAAGGTAGTATTAGAATACTATGTCCCATCCTATAAAAAAACTATGTACCAAAATTAATAATAAATCCCCTTGATTATGGGTTAATAGTACAATTTAAGCTTCGCTCAGATTTTAAAAATTAAATACCAAATACATATGGCTTAAAAATTTAAAAGAGTACAGTAACATCGAGAATTTCAATCTTATTTATGGTATTTCTCGCACCCTAATCTTATTTAAACTTTAGATTGTTAGAGAGATTATAAGTACAATTAGGATATTAGAAGTAAAAAAAAAAATCAATATGCTGGACACACCACAGATAACATCATTTGACTTAGTTCAATTTCTCTGAACAGGACCACGGCTTCTTATGGGATTAAAATTTTCAAAGTAGAGAAAGCTGATATAAAAGATTGTATTCTAAATTATACTAAATCAAAATCCCTGTACAAAATTTGAGAATATAATTGATCGTAGTTATAGTTTAGAAGAAAGAGGACAGAGAAGAATAAAGGCGAAGCTGGAATCAACTACTTGCAGAAGCCGAGCGGTTGAAAAGAGTTTAATATCGTAATTAAGTAGAGTTGGAATCATGATAAAGATAGTCAAGAAAATTGGCATTTCCTTGTTAAAGTCATCATGTTTTAGATTAAAGGAAAAAGAAAAGAAAAGCGATTGGTATTGAAGTATTAGTTTGAATTTGAGAAATGTAGTCTATGGTGACATATTTAGAGGGTGTTTAAATGGCATGAGAAGTGTTACGGAAAAATACTTTTTTATAAATCGAGATAAATCTCTCTACATATTTATTTCGTATATCATAGAATCACTTTTGAAATTATGATTTGATTCCTTTAATTGGTTAAATTGTGGACAACGGTGGAAGAAGCAATCTAGGAATTGAAGATTTCCGATTTTGCCAGAAGTCAGCCGCATGACGTACAAGCTAATTAATGTGAGGTTTTAAGAGCTTTAAGGGCGGTTCAAGAAAGATGGTTAGATATATCCACACAGAAAAATCCAGATTCATGCAGTGGATAACACTAGAGAGCGAGTTTAGGTATCGGTAAGAGTGTACGACTTGAATTTAGTTGTGATATGAGGGAAGCTCTACATGGTGGAACCGGTATTCAACTGCTCCAGGTAGATAGTTTCGTCATCCATGTTGTTTTCTTTTCTGGGATGTCATATGCGTTGACCAACCATTTATTTATGTAATCAACCACTCGGGTGAAAAGAAATATTTTTCATTTTTGTTGCCATCCTCCACGCTGGGATGATGCTGACATTTTTTATGTGCATACATGTATTTAATTGTGTAAAAAATAAAAAAAGAAACATGCCTTTTTTTTATTGGTGAAATGTAAAGTCAAACATCATATATATGATCAAATTTTGAAGATAAACGAGGATGTTAGAAGAAATACCTTGTTTAAATGTTTGCCAACGCTTAAATATGAATTTACGTACTAAATTTTGTATTAAATGTTGTTCATGTAGGCAAGCCAATTCAGATATGATTTTACTTCAAGTAAATTAGACACGAGATTTTGAATTAATGAGGACAAAAATGAAATGAACTAGTAGAGGGGAAATTATGGATAAGTCTTTCAAATTTGAATAAGTACTAAGCGATTTTTTTTTTGGGAGAACTTGTGAAATAATACGCGGAAAAAATTGTAAATTTCTACGCTATTATAAGAGGATTCATAAATAAAATTCTCAGTTAAGTTCTAAACTACATAATTGGGATGATACTTTTTTTACAAGTCTCCCTATAATATTCACGGATCTATTTTAAAAATATACTCCTCCGGTTTTAAATATAAGATTCATTTTGTAATCTAAATTACACTACAAAAAGAATCTTATATTTAAGACTGGAGGAGTACAATTTTACTGTATGTTTTTGCACTAATTTTTTAAGAGACCTATTAAAAATTCGCTTCATGAGTTACAGGAATGAAATGAAATTAATTCACTTCTTTTTCTACCCCCACGAAAGTAATTCACTTCGAAAAAAGCAGTTAGTGTGATTAGCTTTCATCTTACCTACCTTATACATTTTAATTTGGATAAAACGGATCAATGCGTCAAACTTTAACTCATTAACTATTTTATCCACCACTATGTAATGGGTAAAAAAATTAATATGATATTTCCGAGAACAAGATACATAAGGATCAAATTTCAGAAGATGACCCAAAGATCTAAATACGTAAAGGTTAGATTAGAAGGTGTGCAAGGTTTAGTACATGTATTAATTAAACAAAAAACGTTAAAAAGAAAAAGAAAAAGAAAAAGGAAAAAAAAAGGTAGGACAATTTGGAGAGCATTTTACAAAGTCCTCTGTCCGCCTGGTAAATGAAGGGTATATAATAGAAGTGTGAGAAATGAAATATGTAAACAGAGAAATGTACAAAATCAGATTTGACGTTGATAAATGACTACTAACAGAACAAGAAATTCGATTAGAGGAATAGAATATAATAGAATCATGTGTCCATCATCATCAGTTGCCAAGGTAATGAAAACCAGGGACGCTTCTTGGGAATCAATTCTCGTATATTTCCCTATGGAATTTCAACCTCAACGTCTCCTTTTGGGCTGCCATAGAAACTCACATTTTTATAATGTTCTTATCACGTGTTTTTTTTTTGCTATGCATATATATTTTTTTTATCGGAGGCAATTCTATTTAAAATACTATTAGGCACTAAATGTGAGTATCTCTTTCAATAGAAATTCAAACTTGATTGGTCATGTTGTGAGAAATTATTCTCTTCTGCTAAATCCAACCCTGTTGTTTTTTTTTTTTGTAAGAAAAAGTTTAGGTGAGTTAGGTCTCAGGGACTTACCAGGGTCAGAGCATGCTTTTAGACTCAGAGAGCGCTTACAGAGATACTTACAAATTGTCTATCAACAAGGTCTTTATATTGGCAACAGGATTCAAACTCACGATCTTGTATATTATAAGCTGACTCCTTATTAACTAGATCAACTCTTGTTATTAACCTTGTTGTTTTTTGTCATATGTTTATTATGCTTGGCTATTCCTTTATTAAAGAAAGGAGTGGACCTAATAGGGTCATATAGAGGGCCAGAGCCCATTAAGTGTTTGGGTACGGGATTTCTGAGTCCACACTTTCTGATTTCCTCACTCAGTGCCGATTGCACATGGTCTCCGGGGGTTCTCCAGAGTCCAAATCCCATTCTCAGACAAAGCAATCATTGGGTAGTTTCCTTTGTACATATTTATTTTCACACTTTTCTGTTCCGCAAATATATTTGTCAGATGGAATGTTGGTCGTGTTAAACACTTTAAGCTGTTAATCATAGATTTTTCTCTCAAGCGATTCTCAGAATGCACCTTTGTTTCTTAAAGAAAAAAAAAAGAAAAAAAAAAAAGAAGGAAGGGTGCTTCTCTCATATTGTCACGTTCCAGATTGATGAGGCTAGGCTTTTCTAATTATAAAGACAAAATTAAAGATTCATTTACAAACACATTTGTTGCTTGTCACTAATTTGCAAACTGCAAAGATATCACAAACAGAGGTATGCAAATAATGTTGCTTTCAATATGTTTCTTTTAAATTCAAACTAAACATATGACAGTTAGTATTTCATGTTTTTAATCAATTTCAGAATTGAGTTGACCAACAAGCTTTGACCTTTGAGCAGGAAAAACCCCTGGGAAGGATTTCAAATTTTCAGACATTTTTTTATAAAAAAAATGAGTAAAATTTCCTCTTCACTTTCCTTCTGCAGGTTCCTGTGAAGAAGCAGTAATACAAATAAAGTGAAGAACTCAATCAAATAATAATGATAATAATAATAGTAGTAGAAGTAGAATTGATAACCATAAAAAGGTACAGTAACATTCACGAGCAATGGTGAGCAATCTAATAAAGCAAGCGCCGATTGACAAATGTAAACGAAAGAATTGTATATATCTTAGAATCTTGATCTAAATTTTAAGACATTTAAGAAACAAAGAAAAAGGAAAAAAACCACTGTATCAACACAGTAATATATATGGAAATCCTAACAGAAACTGAATTGTCATAAATCAAAAGATTTGAATGTAATGGTACAGTAAGCCACTTGGTTTGATCTAGTTGTGGTGCGAGATTATGGTAATTTCTACAAAGTTCAAACCTGATTGCTGCACCAAAAAAAAAAAAAAAAGAGAATTCGATCGCCGAACTTCTGATCTGGTAAAGTGAGAAACTTCAAGCTGCATGTAAGAGGAGAGGTGATTAAATTTCATGCATTCGAGTAACATCAACGGTCCGCATCATCTTCTCTAACTCCATTTCGATATAAAGCCCAAGATCATGCTGAGAGCATGAAATGAATGAAAATATATCTTTGTGAACTAGATAGCCAATCCAAGATAGAATAGCCAAAGAAGACCGAGGTCCTAAATTTTAGTATATTGCAGTGAAATCCATATTATGGCAAGTGGGATTGCATGGATATGGGCAGTCGATTTGTTTCACCACTTCTCTGTCAAAAAACCAGTCAGCAACCGCTACAGCTATGGTCTGTTCCAATGGCAGCCAAAAAGATGAGTTAGAAGTCAGATTAATTGGAAAACAAAACATGGGCCAAAAGACAAGTTAAGAGTCAGATAAGAATTAGAAAACAGAACACAGGCTCCACTTTCCTGAAGCTGCGTTTCTCCAAGAGTTCCCTTCCCGATGGACACAATTCAAATTGAAACATGGAGAAAAACGCTAAAGTTATAGACATGTACAAAAGGAAAAGATAATCCCAAAATACTTAAACTTCTCAGTTAGACATCCTTTTCTAAGCAGAGAGCTTGTAACTTGACATTAAGTGCATTGAATCGTATTTTTATGCCAGAATGCCAAATTGATCGGGTGATGACAGTACGTATACAGCGTCTGAAAATAGAGAAGAGACTGAATTTATTTAAATGACTCCTATAACACAAATGTGAACTTGGCTTGAATGATTATGTGGTCTGATCTCCACAGAAAATGAAGTGAAACTGCACTTACCTTCTTGTTTATTTTAGGAGAACTGGCTGAATGCCACGTCTCAGACATCCAAGTCTGGCAATGAGTAAAACAAGAATTTATGAACTGTCCCACCTCCCTTCGAGGGCGGAATTCACTCAAGGACTTCAGAAAAGAATTTCGGAAACCTGAATGATCATTAAAAAAATCAAGACCGAGTACGGATACATAAAAGACAATAAAAGCTTGCTCAAATCAAGTTATCATTCATATTTAATAACACCAAGTTAGATCCCAATTCGATGGCAATATTCAGTCATGCAAACCAACCAACAGTCAGAAAAAAGGATGTTCAAACTTAAAAATATTAAAAAAATTTCTAATGCTGATATGCTGCCTTAATTTCCTTCAGACCATATTCCTAAACAGTACTATAAAAAAACTTGTAAATGGATGCAAAGTGTACATCCCTGGAATATCATTCAATGAAGTGAGACTGAATGCAGACATCTTACTATGGCCTTCAAAATATGACCCGGTAGGATAAGGGAACAGGATGACTATTTCATGTAACTAAACCCATAAAAGTTATCAATCAATATAACATTCACTGCTTTCTATTCAGTCAATTACCAGGAATTCCCTAGTCTTAAATTAGTATACCTAGAATAGGTCTCTTGTATTTGCACAAAACCCAAGATGAGTTACACTATTTACAGCTGGTGAACAATGTGACTTCTTACAACTGTAATGGACATATTGATGACGTCTCAAAATATAATAGATTTGCCAAGAAGGCAACTGGATATTCCAAACAGGATTATATCATCTAGTCAATATTGTGAAGCAGCAATATAGTAGTGCAGAACTATCTGTTGGCCTTCAGCTATGATGTTTGGTTACCTTGAAGAATATCCATCTGATCAGTATCACAATTGGAAATGCTCAATCTGCATCTTTTCCAGTGGCCTTGAGGATCCGACCCTTCTGGTACCAGAACATGTTGTATCTAGATATACCAACTTCCGATCATATGGTTGTGTCGTTGTGATAGGGTTAAAAAAAAAATTAGGTACTTAACTTGTTTATTGAGGAAATTTACCTGCCAGAAGTCATAAGCCGGCTGGACTAGGAACACAGGAGTCTGTAGCCTTTTCATAATTTCGGCTGGAAAGAAACACTGCAAAGCAAATCAACAGTTGGTGGTACCATTTATCGTTGGTCTGAATCATGCCAACTAACCTTAAACCGTTTAGTTTTATCATTGAAGAGCACTAAGGGGTGTCTAAGCAAGAAGAAACATACCCTAGATGGTTCCATAGCAGTAGTGCAGTCCCTGTGCAAGCTCTTCATAACACTCTGACAGGACAGGTAACATGAAGAGACATTAGTTGGGAAAATATCTTTTTGGGCTTTAAATTGGGGGGGAAAAAAAAGATCACTCAATAAATAAAGTAAAGTTCAAAAAAATAGTCCCATGTCTGCTTCTGACACATTAGAAATTGATGCCATATGGCAAAGCACTTCAAATAATATCCAGATTTTTTTACTTAGTTTCATGGCAAGCTCGCAACATCCAACTAAGTGTCTATGCCTTTTCATTTAATAGCGAAGGTATGCATTACCTGAAGCTGGAAAACATCATGATAGAAGGATCTCATGGTGTTATTGCCAAGAATATCCTTCCTGAAATTTAAGGCATAAAAAAGGATCAATTCTTATTTTGCTTGTCGGTGAAACGTACAAGTACGTGCAAAGTAGTGAATCCGCTCAAAAAGGGCTTCAAATCCTAGTTATAGCTTAATGCAATTGAAATCTTCTAGTTACAGACTCAGTCCTAAAGAATCGTCAACCTTGGAATACATTGTGTAACAATGAAAGTATTTTGGGAAACTTTAAGTTCAATAACAATCAGAAAAGGTTATGGCAGGAAAAGACAATGATATGTAAATGAAACATACTCATCAAGGAAGAAGCTCGCATCAGCAAGACACTTTACAGTTGCTTCCCTTGGAAGAAGTCCTCGAAAGGCATCACAATGTATTAGAGTTGCCAATCCTCCAGCAGAGCATCCTGAAAGCAGAGCCTGCATAAGCAACCCGCCTATCGTCACATTTGCATATCTAAGTTCACCAGTATAATGCAACAAAAATATAATTAGATAAACATAAATTGCATGAAAAGAAAGCATATTCTGTGTGCTACCTTCCATCTGTCACTTACGTCCACTAAGGATTTGCTTCATTTACAGCTAGTCAATAAAATCTAAATAATCCCACAATTTCTTTCACTCTAGGTTATATTGATTCGGCTTTCATTTACAATCTATGTATAATGCCATTCTTGGTAAATCAACTAATCAATTGTAAGAAGGAAAAAATTAATTGCATAATTAACCCATTGGACTAGTTACATCAATACTTAACAATCATGTTTGCAATGGCACTCGCCAAGTCAATCAACAAAGAATTTCCTACAAAAATAAAAGCAGCTGGAAACAATGATAGCTTTATTGGGTTCATAATCTACAATGGCACAAGGATTAAGGACAAAATGACTTTATTATTTATATCAGCTCCTCGGGATTTTGATGAGCATTAAAAGAAGTACCCATCTTAGTTCAGATATTCTATTAATATAACCCGTGGATGTGATAAAATTTAAACAGAGAGCCGGATATCTTTTTACAGGTGTACAATACTTTAGTTGGTCAAAATTTCACCAAACTTTAGAGAGCAAAGAATGAGAGATATATGTTAGAAAGGCATGGGAGAATAACCTCTTTGGCTTCAGACAGGCCAATTGACAAGAGTTCATCAATAAGTGCTTCCCATATGAGCTGACCTCTGAAGAATAATTTATTTCCTTTCTGAAGTAACAGAACAAAAACAAGAAAGAAATGTCAAGAGGAACTTCTTATATAGACACACATGTCACGGAGCTATGGAAAACCCATTGCACATAATTAAGAAACTCTCGATAAGTCAATGCTGCACAAGTGGAAGCGAGACCAACCATAATCTCGTTTTCTGGATGACCAGCGAGGGACGCACCATCACAATAACGTATCTTAACCTTGTTCCAGCTAAAGAAATCTGAGTAGTTTGATAAACCAAGCTAAGTAACACCGTTTACTGAATATTCACGTCCAACCAACTAAAACTACTTCCACTGCAGCACAGCTATATGTACATTTTGTAAAATGTTTATGATGATTTAATCACAGGATATTTGGTACCAAAAAGATTAAAGTTCCAAATCATAGTGTTAAAGGGATTTATCTCGGAGTTAGCAGCATTACATGGCCGGGTATAGAAGTTGCAGTTTGTAACTAAAAGAAACCAAACCAATATGGTACGTTAACAATGGCCAATAAGGTAGCTACATAAGATGCAGAGGCTACACCAGGATTCTGCGCAGGGTCAGAGCTTAAGATTCCCGAGAAACGAATTTGTCTATCCATATATTTTGAGGATCCCAAAGCAGTCATTTTTCGCTGAGAACACGAAGACATCGTATTACACCAACCTCCTCCCTACATCCAAACACAGTTGTAATAAAGCAGTTCAAGTGATCTTTTTTTCCTTTTTATTTTCTTTGAGCGTTTCATAAAGCTTTACGCAAGCAAAAGAACCTCAATGTGAAGTAGCCAATTGTTAGAGCCGGATCCAAACCCCTTTTGGAAATGGTATCCTGGCAAGCTCCCATCCAAGCAAACTGCGCAAACAGGCTCAAATTATACAATAAAGTAATAGACTTTACTCTTGAGCGTTGTTTTTAATTATTTAGAGATGAAGTGAGATTGAGTTCACATACAAGCGCCTCTATCCTTAGCATTTCGAAGAAGGGTCAGATCGACGAGATCATCATTTTGGCTTAGACCGAACGAGGGGTTGGTTACGGAACCATTCACCCTTCGCCGGGAATCGGAGATGAGAGAAAGTGCAAAGACGACAATGAGAGTGAAGCCCACGGCGGCTATCGCCCAGTCCTTCTTGGCCCACTTGCGCCACCGTAGTAGAGCGCGAAGATGAGGATTAGCCATGAAAGAAGACAAGAACCACGATTCGCGCTCAGGGAAGAAGGAGGGAGAAGAAGAGGAACAAGCGTGGAACCAACAGGCAAGCAGCCGGGCTGCCCGCTTGGTTGGCTTCAAAGCTAGAGGACGTCGTTGACTTTTCCCCAGTGAATTCACTTGCGAAAAGGACAACACAACAATAAAAGAAGCCCATTTCCCAGAGAAACTGAATAGGTAGGGGTTCGTGCATCGGAAGCTGATGCAACTCAACGCCCGTATCTGTGATACATTAGTTCTGCCCCCGTTATATCAATAAACTTCACTGTCCGGAAAAATAAATAAATAAATGTTATATTATTAATGTTTAATACTCCGTGGGCTTTAAAATGAATAATTATCTTCTGGCAAACAAATAAATAATTATATTGAAATTTTCGAAAATTATAATTATTCTAAACATGAAAAATATTATCGTAAATTTTTTATATTCAATATGAAGTATATGTTTATACAATTCATACACTGCGAACAATGCAGGTTATTTCTTAAATTTTATTTATATAATATCTGAAATCAATATTTAATTTCTTCAAAAAATTATGATTAGATTTTGATGATTTGATATAACACTAGTAGTAGTAATGTCTCAAAATAAATAACTTAAAATATTTTTTTTTGAAATTTTCCAATACATGAAAACAAAGAACAATTTTTGTCTGTGTTTTGGTTTGAGTTTTTCTTCATTTAGGGCCTGGCAGGCTAGCACTTTTAGAATTTAAATGGGCGTACTTGTCTTATCCGGCCTAACCCATCTTTTGAAAACAGAGAGTAATGGTAAAAGAAAAAGATTCGTACTTTGTAGCAAAAAAAATTTTGTGCTCTCTTCTCTATTTTGGTTGTTGTTATGGTGATATATAGTAATATTTATTTTATTAAAACCCGTGGCAATGACTAAGGAATTTGGCCTCTTCGTTATTAATATCATTATAATTGACAATAATATCAATATATAAAATTCATCATAAAAATATGTGATTTAAATTCATCAATTGCATCTTCTATTCTTAAAATTTTATGTAGCGTAAAAATATAGAGTATATGAATACTCATAACAGGAGAAATTGGGAGGGGATCCCGCTGTTTGTGTAATTTTCCTTCCTTTGTTTTTCAAAATGTACTCCTGCATTTAAAATTTAGATTAATCTCTCCTTTTTTTTTTTTTAGATCCATCAGAATTTAATTTTATTTATTCGATGGTACGTGTAGAAGGAAATAAAGTGTGTCAAAAAAAACAAAGAAGGAAATAAACGAAACAATAATTTAATATACTTGTAAAATACTCCCTCTAGTGGCTAGTCCTTATTATAACTATAAGCCATCAACTAATAAGTATTCTTGATCCTTTTTATAAGACATTTGCTTAGTTTCAAGCAGCATTAAACATTCAGGGCCAAAAATTAGCATTAAATATTTTTTGTCATCTATGCCCATACTACATAATAAGAATAGTTAGAGAATAAAAATTAACATGATGTTAGAATTTAGTATAGTTATTAATGATAATACTAAAAATCACTTAAATTTTATAATAAATTTAATGCTTTTGACTGTCTTTATTGCTATGAATGAATTAACTAGAAATGATTTATAACAGGAATAAGAGAAAGTGTGGATTCATATATGTTGATCCAAATATATAGAATCACATTTTCATTTTCTTTTACGGCCTTCTTTTTCTAAATAGATAAATACATGAATATATGAGCATTTATTTATTTATTTTGAATGGGATGTATGAGCATTTTGTGAATAAGCCTTTCAACATGCAGCATTAATTGCATTTAATTGGAGAGAATTGCCTCCATTGATTGCATTTAATTAGAGGGAATCGCGTCCATTGATTGGAAGTAGGTAAGTAGCAGCAATCCAAAGGTTCAGGTTTGTATATAATTTTTAATCTCTTAAATTCGTTCTTATCTTAGTTTTAATCCTTCAAATTTTAAATTATAAACTTTTATGTTCATTTAAAATATTAGTGCATATAATTTAATAAAAATCTAAACTATTTTGTCTCTTGAATAACTAAAACTTATAGTTTAAAACTTAAGAAACTAAAACCAAAATAAAGATAAACTAGAGAGATCAAAGATTATATTAATCCTGACATAAAATTATAAGCTGGACTCCTTTGCCAGACAACATGCTTGCTGCCTGCTACTTCCTCTGAAATTAATTCATCTGAATTTGATTCACATGCATCACCCCAACATAGAAAAAATATATATAGTCACTTTTTATTTATAAATATTTTGCAAATTCTAATGCAAAAACAGCCATGCATACTAAAATTGGCCCCAAAAAAAATGAAGATTCAAACATGAGATTAAATAATAATAATGGTGATGGTGGCGGTGATAAAAGGCTTATTATTATGAGAAAATACATGGCAATTCGCCCTAAAAGAGCTACATAATTTATCGAAACAAATGATAATTAAGATATTTATCCCCTAGTTTTATTCTTTTCTTCATATATGTAACACATAGTATTAATGAAAGCTATATTGCCCTATTTCATTTGTTGGGAAACAAATAAAAAAATAATGGAAACATATTTAGAAAAACAAAAACACAAAGTAAACATGTTTTATGGCAGTACATATTAAAAAAAAAAAAATTTTACCCTCTCCCGCACTCTCTCCCTATTTATGCGTATGTATAATTTTCTTTCTCACTCCTTTATTACCCAAGGCATATTTGAGAGTCTATCTTGTTTCTCTGGATCTAGATTCTAGCAACCAAACAGGTCTCGCTTTAGTCTTCAATTTATCTTCCTCTGGCGGATCATTTGCATAAAGCAATGTCAAATCGATCAATGGAGGGAGCTGGATCTCAAAATTCTAAGAAAAATCAGGAAGTTACTAGGTGGGAGATTGTGAAACCCACAGATTATGAACATTTTGAACTCCATAGTAAACTAATTGATACCCTTACTCTAACAGTGACTGTAAGTGAACCCTACCTTTCAATCTGATTTCTTTGTTAGTAGTGAAATGATTGCCCAAATTGATGACTTACAATCGATTTGATCATGATTTTTTTGTTATTTTATCTATTTTATTGACTAACCTCTTTCTTGGTTGCAAGAATTTGATCGATTTAAATAGAGGAATGTTTTGTTTGTTTCATCGACCGGTCCCTTTCTTGGCTACAAGAATTTGATCGTGTCGAATAAAGGAATGTAATTTGTGGTTCTAGGCCCCTCCTATTTTTCTTCTATTATTTAAAAAAAAAAATCTTTTTTTAGTAGGGAAGTGATTTACCTGACCTCATCATTGAAATGAACAAGAACGGATGATAGATTCTGGTAGAAACTTATAAATTTCATTACTGACTCCTCTTGGAGGCTGTAATGCTAATCTGATGATTTCATTGCAGCCCCGGATGGAATTAATGTGGTTGCTAAAGGGTTGGGATGTGAAACTCCAAAGTTGCCCTAACCTTGACCATATCTTTTCGTAATTTTTAGTAGTTCTACTCATCTATCATCTCCATAATTCTTCTATTTTTATCTTAATTACCAGAATGCAAGCTTTTGCAAAACATGACTGTGTTTTGCATTCTTTTCAAGAAACATGAAAATATTTTGATGAACTTTTTTGTGCGGTGATTTATAATATAGGCAAAGGTTGATCAAATAAAAAAATACGCGCTACTGCAGCAGCAAGGATTAAGTTCAGAGAATGATATGGCTTGGGTAGGCGATCCTTCCCCCACCCCCCCCCCCCGGGGGGCGACACAACATTAAGTTCATTACAACCGTCTTTCTGAATTGTATTGTCTGCTCATTCTTGACTACGTCTTGGTAACTGCATAAATGACGCTAAATTCAAATTGTCAGGAGGAATCACCTGCGTTTGGGAAGAGTCAAATGGTAACGAGTGTTGTGATTGGGGACATAGCCGTCAGCTTTGAGTGTCCTCAACTGTTCACAGAAAACAACGTAGATATGGACCTTGCTGCTTCATGTTATCGCGATTTCTTGGTACGATAATCCTGTAATAACATATATAGTGCTGTTCAATATTTCTTGTTCTTGGTTTTCATGTTATTATTTGTCTATAATTAATTGGCGAATGGATCAGAGACATATACCAATTGCCAATGAAGATAAATAGGATCGAGTTGTCCAAGTGTGCCGCCCATTTGGCAGTCAAAATGAGGATAGAAATATCATGACTGTATTGGAACTGAACATCTGCGTACATGTGTGTGTGAAGTTTATGCATTTCTGTATATATTTTACAGGCTACATTTGATGTAAAAACGTTGTGGGTGGATGTGTACCACAACACACACAACAGACTTACGCATTTCCAAAACCGCAGGAACGAGATGGGGTGGTAAATTCAATGAAACCGCTTCAGTTTTCTTTCAGAGAAAGGTTGCAAAATTGGAACATCCAGTGCAGAATGCGCCCACATGGGAGACTCGACATGGTAATACATATGACTGATATTTGATCATTCCCAAGAACTCATATGGTTACATCGAAACATACGACTTTGGATGCAATACTCTATTATTGTGTTTCTTTTGTGGGGTGGAAAACTGAGACATGATATTTAATTAAGACTATATACCTACATGTGTGACTACGTAGAATTTGTAGTCTTGAAACATTTCATTCTGGTTTCAAATGCATCGATCCATATGAAGACATTAAACACAGCGTGGGTTGAACAAAGTGGAGAATTGATTAAAATGTAATATCTGATGCAGTTTTATCGATACCCAAGAGGAAGGAGATCATTTCGATCTGTGAATGAAGTCATCGACTTTATGTTATACGAGATTTGCCCGGATACACATAAACAAGTTCAGGTGATTTATTGACTTATTCCTTCACTCTTATAATAGTGTCCGTATAGATTACACACACATAGATATTCATAATTCCCATTTCAGAGTTGTGTAATATAGTAGATATATATGGGAACTGCAGTTCATTTCCGCGCAGAATTTAAACCCAAATTGGCGTGAGATGTGAAGTTCACATGCAATAATTGTTCTAACCAAATAGTATAATCTTGCATATTGTTACACTTATTTAACATTGAGTTTAAGAGCCGCTGGAATGAACTCCCTCAATCTATAGCCAATACTATTGATGAATTCGCATTTAAAAGCCATAATGAAGTTTTATTCTCAATTACTTTTGCTAGCTGAAGGATATGTCCAACTTAATTATCAGTTTATTCATTCATATGTAAAATCTCTTGAATGTTTGTGTTTTAAAGGACAAGATTAATACACGTAACATGGTGTTAGTTTGATAGAAGGGAAGTTATTAATTATTGGATTGATTTGTTTGGCAAATAACGGTTAATTTTGAATCAGGCCAATAACGAAGAAGCAGCAGCGGAGAAATCAAAGAGAAGAAGGTCCTCAATTTACAGAGGCGGGCGAAGAAGGAGGAAACACAGAAAAACAAAAGGAAAAGCAGAACAGAAAACTGATGGGGAAAAAGCTGCCACTCAAAAAGCTGATGGTCAGGATGCTCAGAAGGAACAAAACACAAACCCTAGCTCACCCCCAGAACCACAAAAACAGGCCTCTCCCGATACTGATTTGCTCAACATATCCGACGATCTCAATGCGTACGAGAGCCTGTTTGATAAATATTTTGATGAGTTTTAATCACCATTCATGCTCTGTGATAATGCATGGATTAACTGATCTCCTTCATATTATCAAGCTTACTATGTTATATATGATGACCTTATGCTGTTAATTTAATTTATGCCTTCTCAATTCTCTCCTTTAATTTTGGGGTTCGAATTATTAATCGATGACAGAATGATAAAATACAATAGAATCCTACATGCGTATATAAATGTTGATATCTCCTTGTATTTTGATAACGAAAATCCAAGATGATGCGAAACTATTGAGATGACAATAAGTTTCACTTGTGCACACGGGTGACGAGGTCGAAATATTAAGGAATAAAGTAAACTTGAAGAGTCGTCAAAGCTTTAAAATCAGTTTATTATTACAGCTTATAATCACATATATAGGAGCAGAAATAATAACAGATAATTTAAGATTCACAGATTAAAATATGCAACCAGCTCCTATTTCAAGCCTCCAAAAGGCCACGGGTAGTAATTAGCGTAACAGTAAATAACTCTCACTGGTCACAAGTTCAATTTTAATTATATTCAATGGGAACAATCCCGCTCCATAATAAACAATTATTTTTTTCAAGTCTCAATTGCTCAGAGAATTAAATTTTTATTAGGAAAAATTTAAAACTTCAAACACAAACAATTAAACGACATTTACTAATTGCTGGTTTTCCCCCACAGAATTAAAATGAGGTTTTTGTTTACCGCAGAGGTTATTTCTTGTAATAATTATATAATCTTTAAAAGCTCACTTTCATTTGCAGTTCATATCATCATCTAAAATATTATAAATTTTGCTTTAGCTAGCTCAGCTCCCAAATTATTGAATTAAATTTTTTGAAGATAGTCACCAGTTTGATCACAATTGTAGTATGATCATAACAATTCAAAGCCCGAGACTCAAACCACAAACTTAGTTACGGATCTCATCTTTCTCCAATGTCGATTACCATTCACTGAGCAAATCTAGTCTCGTCAGCTTTGAGAATTCAGGTTTAAGATTTGCGCTGGCTGGAAATGGATGTAACTAGGAGCCTACACCAGGTAAGAATTTAGTATGTAGCTGGTAATGATCAACAAAACAAGGTTAATTTTATTTTATTAATCATTTGCCCATGCATATCAATTCCTATTATTATTTAATTCAATCAGCATTCAAAAATTTAGTTTTGTTTTGATTTAAGTTCTTATATTTGTCAAACACAAATTTTATACATCCATTATTACTTTTCTACTTCTGAAAATGAAATTAGAAAGGGGGATATCAGACCAAAAAAGAAAAGCTAAGGGAGGAAAAAATACATTTCAGTCTATGATAGACAAATTTGGCCGTTTACAAAGTAATTAAAAGTGTTTTCTTATACGTCATATATATATTTTTTAAAAATGAATCGCACTGCTTCATTGTTAAAATAATGTCACATTATTTCATTTTTGTGTGTGTACAAAGTACTTGCCGATAAATAAATCTATGATTTGAGTTGCAAATATCATGCCTCTGAAAAAAAATTACAAGTGAGTATATTGTTAAATCTAAAGTTAAATTCTTGCGATATACATGAAATAGAAGGAGAATTTTACAAATGCAATTATTTCAATGACTTGATTTTGAAGAAGTTGATTGAAAAGCTTACCTATCTTTGGAAGACAAATTGATTTCCCCCCCCCCCCAATCTATGGCTAATTAGTCTTAATTTGGGTAGCCGGATGATGTTGAACATAATCCATGACCATTTTGTTTTTGGAATTGCTATAACAAACTAGGATAATCATGGGGAAACAGAGACATCAAGAGGGAAGAGCAAGTCAAGTTTGACAGGTGGTCGAAGAAGAAAACGTAGGAAAACAATATTTGCAAAAGAGAATGAAGACCCTGCAGAGAGAAAAGCTTTAAAATTGCAGGTTGCCAATGAAGAAGATCAAACAAGCGTAGCACAGTTCCAAAGTATTGCTGAGGCTTCTGGGACAAGACATGAACAACACACACATGTTTCACCTGCAGAACGACGGAAAGACACATGCTTTTATTCAGATTTGCTCGATATCTCCAACGATTGGACTGCCTACGAGAGCTTGTTTTGTGATTATTTTGATTAGTAATATTGAATGATTCCGAGTGAAGTAACAGTTAGAGCTGGAGTTGTTTCCTCCATAATTGGTCATAATTAACTTGATACAATGGAAGAATGGTAATGAGCTGCGAAGATGAAGAGAAGTGGATCTGAACAGAGAGAGTTATGTAATGTTAATTCAGGTGCATTATTACTCGGAAAGATAATGAAATAGTTTTGCATAACACAGATGAGCCATGCTTTAATTTTGGGATGAAGTTCTAGCCCATAAGTTCATGAGTCCACGAAGCTTAAAACAGGAGTATCAAAAAAGCATCTTCATGTGTAAAGTTAGAAGCCTTTTATGTACCTTCAAGGAATGAGATCTGGTAACCCAGATGTAATTATAAAGTCTAGTGTCTCATTGTAATGACTAATAATTAATGTCATTATTGAAAGCTTTTTTATTCTTACTCATGTGAGCAGGTCAAGCCCACCACCAGTTCTCATTTGGAAGGAGCTGAGACAAGTACCTAACGAAATTAAAAAAATGTACCAAAACTGTGTTTCATTTTCTTTTAGTTTTTCTGGCCAAAAACACACTCATCCAGGTGCATGCTGCCTGTTTCGCACGTCTTTCATATTTTTAACATGTCAGAACATGCGCAAGCACCCTTAAGATGCCAGATCTCTCGAGCCTTACAAGAGAAGAAACTTTTAAAGAATATTAGAAGAGATATAAGAAAAAACTTGATCTCAAAGTCTCAATATTGGCAATTTATGAATCTGCAATGAAATCTGCCGTTGAACCTGCAAGTTCTTAACACCTCAACTTGTTTGTCACACTACAGCTAACAGCAGCCTAAGTGGACCTAACATTAAAATTGTAAACACATGATCTCCACTATTAACGCCATAATCAACTATATATATATATATATATGGCTATTTGCATGGATATTCTGCCTTTTCAATTGGCTATCTGTCTGGAAATTGTTTCTAATTAAGAAGTTTATGTCTATCACAATTTACTCAAAACAGAAAACAATCTAGCTTCAATGTTTAAAACATAATGGTGACGTGGTGAACAAGACAAGGGAATAATACCTGAAAGTTGAAACACGGTGTATAAATAGCTGAGGTTTCAGGACGAATCCAAAAACACGAGCCTGTCCTCCAACATTACCGTACATTTTCCCAGCTCAAACTATCATATATACTATCAATAATCAATGGCTGCCAGTTCATTTTTCCTTAATCGACACCTCAAACTCAGCTTCTGTGTGTTCCTGTTATGTCTCAGTGGAACAGCTGTTGCTCAGTTATCCTCCACATATTACCTACTTTCATGTCCTCTTGCTCTTTCTGTCATTGAAGCCGAAGTAGTCACTGCTGTGTCCAGTGAGCCTCGCATGGGTGCTTCCTTGCTCCGTCTCCATTTCCACGACTGCTTCGTCCAAGCAAGTTTGCTTTTCATTATTATATTCACCCCATCTCATAATTAATTATAATTTCTCGCCTATACTGAAAATTTAGTTCCGTACTATTGTGCAACGCCGTAACCGTGCATTATTTCCAGGGTATTAAAACTGAACAAGTCTTGGAATCGGAGGATTATTAGTTGATAGTCTTAATATTATTATTTAGCAAAGTGTATAGATGGGTGTCGACTTGTGTATATGTGACTGATGTGTTTTGACATATATAGGGATGTGACGCGTCAGTATTATTGGACGACACAGCAAATTTCACGGGTGAAAAAACAGCATTTCCCAACAATAATTCTCTGAGGGGATTTGATGTTATAGACAACATAAAATATAAACTAGAGCAATTGTGTCCCGGAGTCGTCTCATGTGCTGACATTCTGGCGGTTGCTGCGAGGGACTCTGTTTATGCAGTAAGTAGTGATTTGATTTGATTTAATGGTTCTCTTCATATTAAGCGAATAAGACTCTCATGTCAGTGTCATGCATAAATGAATTGGAAACGTGTCAGCTGGGTGGACCTCACTGGGAAGTGAGATTGGGAAGAAAAGACTCGACCAACGCAAGTTTTAGTGATGCTAATAAGGATTTACCAGCACCCTTCCTCAATCTCAGTAGCCTCATCACTGCTTTCGCCAACAAGGGCTTCTCTCAGCAAGAGATGGTTGCTTTGTCTGGTACGTACGTAACACTCTAGTTTCACATACAATTAATTGCTACGTACTAGCTATATATGGGTTAATTATATTAACCAAGAGGGATTTTGGATGAATATTGTTGTCAGGGTCTCATACGATAGGGATGGCGGCGTGCAGGATGTTCAGGAACAGGATCTACAACGACACCAACATAGAGTCGTCGTTTCAAACGTCGGAGCAAGCAGTGTGTCCGGCGCTAGGCGGAGACGGCAACCTAGCATTTTTCGACGCCACCAATAACGGAAACTCTTTCGATAACTTGTACTACCAAAACTTGGTGAATCAGAAGGGTCTGCTGCACTCCGACCAAGAGCTCTTCAATGGAGGCGGCACAGACTCTCTTGTTCAAGATTACGCCCGGGATTCTTCTCTTTTCTTCCACGACTTTGCTGATGCCATGATTAAAATGAGTGAGCTCACTCCTCTCACTGCTCCAAATGGTCAAGTTAGGACTGATTGCAGAAAAATCAATTGACTTCTATAATATAACCTAATTCCCCCTCGCATGCGCGCGCGCTCGCACACAAATATATATGTTGTCGGAAACTCTACTTATAATAATTGTGACCCATCTATTTATATGTAAGTTCCATCAAGTACGTCGTCAGTGTTGAATTAACAAGGACTGTTTGAGAATAATGTTGGGCGCTTTGCTATATATCATGTGGTCAACTTTTGTCAAAAGTTCACCAATTCTAGCAGGTGAATTCTTGTATTCTTCCTCATTTAAACCTAATATTTGGTCATATATACATGATATCAGAATTTCCCTAATCCAAGATCAAAGTTTACAACCTCAAGTTTGGGTTGGCGTAGAGGGCAAACTTTGAAAGAGGATGAACTAAGCAGTCAAACAGGCAAATGGGGCTTTCAATCCGATCATGGTTTTGTGGGCCATCTGCTATATAGTCATGCAGGCTTATGAATAATTGATGCCAACTTGACGAAGAAGGCATGCACAGTTCAACTAAAATTGTCAGTCCGGAACCAAACATATATAGGGTCGTCGTTTAAAGCGTCGGTGAATGTGTCCGGCCGTAGGCGGCGGAGACGACAACCTGTCCCCTTTAGACACCTGTTTTAATAACTCATATAATCTTGAACGACTTGATGAAGCTTCAGAAGCTAATCAAAATAATTTCTCAAACGAGTTAAAAATCTAATTTTTGGATATTCTAATTACATTTACAGTAGATAAACTAAATGTCATAAAAATTTCCAAAAGTGTTTTTTAATTTGCTGAACAAATTAAAAGTGATTCTCATGAAAGTACTGGAACAAATTATTTACGGCCTAAATCTTTTTTTTTCACAATTTTTTTGGTAGGCATAGGTATCCTCCTATTAGAACAATCATATTCAATGCACTATTGAGTACTAAATATGAGCACTTCTCTCGGTGATAATTTAAACATTGATTTACCATGTTATAGATACTGACTCCTTTCATTAGATCTAACCTGCATTGATTCTTTCTTCACAATTTATATCCTATAGATTAGTGTACAATGCAAAAAATCTAGACTTCAACATATTCGTATGACTATTATATTATTGCTAGTTGCGAGAAATGTCATTGAAATAATTGAGAGAAATATATATAATTTGTTCAAGTTGGTGGAAGAGTCTGTTTTGACAAGATTTCAAGTCGTGTTGTTACAGAAAGTACACCTGTAGTTCCTGAATTCCGTTTGGGAATATTATCATTGCTGATGATTAATTACTCGCAGGGAATCCTCTTGGCCCTCGTATATTTTATCATTCGCTCGATCTCTCCCCGTCACGTTCGTACGTTTAATTTGTTTCTACCTTATATCTCATGTCTGCCTGAGCACATGCTCTCCTACGGTCAACTTTCGTCATTTCCTACATTCGAATATGATTCTGCATCATATATCTCTCCGTTCCTCATTAAACCTCCGAATTTCACCCTGACTGTCGATGCACCATCGAGTTTGTGTTTTATTAATCAAGTTGTGTCATTTTAAATAAAGACATGAAAGTTGATCAAGGTGTTGTTTGGTAACATTGAAAAGTGTTTCTCAAAAGTACTTTTTCTCAAAACAAGACAAACTCCTCCACATATTTACTTCGTAAACTGTAAAAATATTTTTAAAATCATGGTTTGGTTTCTATTTAAACACCTCTTAAAAATTCAGTGAAAGAGGATGAACCGTGTACTCAAAAACAGCCAACACACGGCACAGTTGGGTCTATTTTGAATGATGAGTTACGTTTCGGCCCATGCTTAAGCCCACACCAGCCCAGATCACATGAATATAATTAATATCAACTTTGACCATGTTTTTTTTTTTTTAATATATGGAAGCAAAAAAAGCAATCAAACGATTGAATTCCCGAATATATCTAATGCCATACATTAGAAAATAAGGAGTCAGTGAAGAGGAAAAGGGTGGGAAGGTGAAGTCCAAAGAGACATGAATATGTATTTCTAGATGGGAACCGCACCCCTCATCTCCTCTCTTTTTGTTTCTTTCATGAAATATTTCTAATATTATACTCCTCCGGTCCTTAATATAAGACCTTTTTAACTAATTTGATTAAATTAAAGAAGTTAGATAAGTTAGTTAATTATAAGAAAAGTGACACATTTTTCCTAAAACACCATAATTATTTTTCTTAATACCCCCTCTCCCTCTTCTACTTAATTATAGTTGAGGGAGTGTCTATAAGGGTAATTTAGAGAAAATTAATAAATATGAGAAATGGGTTTTATATTTAGAACCAAAACCAACTCAAGAATTGGGTCCTATATTAAGGACCGGAGGAATATTACGAATCTTGAGTGAGTCTCGACAGAGTAAAAAATGTTGTGGAATATTCTGAAAGTTAGCAAGGGAATCAGAGACAGGAATATCCCATAAAGATGGATATAATGGCATATGTTTGAAATTCGAAAAGCCATTGGCTTTAAAGGAGAGAAGGTAGTTTGAGCACATGGTGCGGATTTGTGGTGGGATCATCATTTTGTCTTGAGAAAAGGATGTGGTGAAATTGCCATTTTTTGTTGCATTGCATAGCCATAGCTCGTGACACATAATGTTGAAAAAGCTTGATCAAGAAAAGCAAAATTCAAGGATGATCCAAGTCATCATATATATAATGTGCATGCATGTGTAACAGATTTAAAAAGTTTGTCACCACTCACCAATATTTGTATCCACGGAAGATGACAGAGATCAATTATTTGCCCAAGGAAGATGTATATATAGTAAAAAAATTGAATAAAAACTCAACTTTGATTACCGATAGCGGTTCTCCAGTTTAATTAGATTATATATCTGTTGGGATATCACTGTTATCATGCTTTATCCAATTAATTTAATGGAGAGAACACACATAGGGTGATCTAATATATATAGGACTATACTACCTCCTATTCTAAATATAGGAGTTTTACTTTAGTTCTAAATAGAAGATTTCAATCTACTTTATCTATCAAATTTATAATTTTTTTAGAAGTATAGTATTGATTGCATATAATAAGAATGTCTTTATAAACGGGTGTTATAATTTATGCCCATAATTGAAAAGATATTCTACGAAAACCAACACACATTTTTTATAAATAATTAACTCAACTAACTTTTTTAGCATATGCAAATTACATATCTAACTTTTACATTAAAAATTAGAGAGTAGTTAAAAAAAAAAAGGATGATTCCTTTGGGGATTTACATATATATGATCTTATGGAACACATATGCCCAGTATTTTATTAGATGCAGATGACCACAACTGGTCCATATATGGAGAATAGATTTTTTTTTTTTTCGCCTGAATATACGGAGGATAGGTGAAAGAAGAGGGTGAGAAGGAATAAGGAACATGATTGATTTGGTGACAATGGAGGCCGGCAGAATCATAAGGCTCAAATGCCTTAATTGCAATGATGCACTGGTACCCAAAGTCTTCCTATTCCCTAAAGCTAATTATTGTTTGTTGAAAACCATTTCCCTTACTGTTACCTTCCTCATCCTTCTTCAATCATACCTTGCAATTCCTAATCTGATCAGCTTCCTCCTCGCAGTCTGAAAACTTTTGGATAACAATTATTATAATAATTATAACATAATTAACGTAAAAAAGTAGTCAAACTCTTTCTTTATTATATTGAGCATAAATATCGATATCTTAATAATGGTACGCACTACGCACCATGCAGATGATATGCCTTTGTCATCAACTCCATTGCATTGATTTGAGCAAAATTTTAGCACAGCGTTTATAATTTTTTTAACCAAATTATCCCTAGTGAATACTGCACATATTACAGGGAGAGGGTTATTTCCAACATAAATTATTAAAGAGGATATTTTATGAAAACTAATACTTCCTCTGGTTTTAATTATAAGAGCTAGTTGACTAATTTGATGAAATTAAAGAAAGAAGTTAAATCAGTTATTTGTAATGAATAGGTCGTATCTTTTCTAAAATATCCTTACTAATTAAATGTATTGGTTAGAACTATCATTGTTAGAAGGACTACCTTGAAAAAAAATACATAAATATGAGAGACAAAATGGATTGGAGTCTTCTATTTAAGACCAAAATAAAAGTCAAACAAGATCTTATATTAAAGACCAGATGTAGTATGTATTCTTTACAAATAACTAAGTTAACTAAATTTATTAATCTCTACAAATTAATTATCTAGTTTGTATGGTAGTAATAAATTATGATTTGTTTGTGGGGGGATATATATCCCCCAGTCTCAACAATATGCATGATAGCTGATAATATTTGGAGGACAGCTATGCCGTAAGCGCTGAAAAAGCCAATTACCAAATCTGAATTTGATTCCATTTTGTGTGACGGGAATCCAAAGTCTACAATATTATATTGCCCTCATCAACTTGTGATGAGTGAGCTGAGTGACTTAACTCTCTTCCCATGGCTTTTGTCCTCTTACTCCTTAATCGTTATTCTCTGGACATAGCCTTAGAAAGAAGAAAGCGACCACCGTACCCTATTTTTCAATACCTCTCTCTCTCTCTCTCTCTCTCTCTCTCTCTCTCTCTCACACACACACACACACACACACACACTTACTTCGAAACAAATCAATACAAGCTATAGCTTCTTCCTTTCTTCATTTGTCTGCATATTTTTCTTCCTTAGAGTTTGAAATTTTAGGGATTTCAACCCCCAAACACATGTGGGCGTGGACTTTTAACTCCATAAAGCAACAAGATTAAAAAGGATTATTGCTTATATGGCGGCAAGAGGTCCATGCGTAGATACCCATACTTGTATATGCTAATTAAGAGAAGCCCTCTAGTTAATTTGTTGGTTAGGTGATTCATAATGTCAGGGGAAGTTGAATTTTAGTGATCCGTGATGTGATCCATCATTGGATCCTCCAAATTCTGATCTGATATGATCAACAATTAATTTCTGCTGCCCATTCTTTATTGTGCAGTTGATATTAGTAATGTAATGAATGATCGGTTAGAGGGGTTGAGCTAAACCCATAATACCTAGTTAGTGTGATAGGAAGAGGAGAATCAAAACTAGGGGAATTAATTAAAAGAAGGCATGTTTAGCTACGTAAAATAAACACTGGCTATTAAAACAAAGAAGGAAAATGGTTGGCAAACTCTTGTCATGTACTCTATAAATATAGATAGTTATTTGTTTTAAGGATTCACAATTTCCTTAACTTGCGAAATTAATAAAATGATGTTTAATTTCATTTCTTTGATCGATAATTAATCAACTTGAAATGTAATTAAAAAGTGCGAATAAAAAGGAACGAGAATCTGAGCATGCCTTGGAAATAGAAGTGATGATGAAAGCAGAAGCCTTGAAGGGGAAAAAGAAAAAAGAAAAAGAAAAAGAAAGAAGGGAATGAATATAGTTGATGTGGACCTTGTGATAAAGTCAAACTTTTGGAAACTTTTAGAACAGAAGTGGTTCAATTGCTTGCAAGTTAAACAAAGCATCCTATATAAAATTAGTTATGATGATGACGATGTACCAACCAAACATAAAATCAAAATAAAAGGGGAAGTCATCAATGTGGTAAATATTGTAGCTAGCTAACGTGTTGCGTAAAAATGGTCCCCACCAACCAAATCATCACGTGCTTGCTGCTTAGATGCATCAAAGTTCGCATATATCACAGACGAAAGCAGTGTGCATCTCCCTCTCCTCCAACATATTCATTAACTGTATATTAAACATTAAACAACCACAACAATATAATAATAACAACAACAACAATAATAATAGATTCAGATTTTGAAGTTGGATATGTCTGCAGTCTACACTATATCATTCTCTCTTTGCTTCCTTTCTCAAACAAATCTATAGACTATGAAAGAAACATATGTAAGACAAAAAGTTATGGAATGGATCTTATTTATATATAATACAAATTAATATTTACCTATACAAGGAATGATGCTATTGTTATATACTTCTTTCTTTTATTATAAATTTCAAATAACCGATGTGTATGCATATAATAAAAAATTAATTAACATTAATTAAATTAATAAATGGGTTAAAGACTTTTTTTTTGGGAACATGCTCTTATCTATAAAAAGAGTAAGTGAGAGAAACAACTAACGAAAAAAATAAAAGAAAATGTGAGAGGAAGTGTAATAAAAGAGAGTGTGACAACATTAAAAAAAAGTATTAAATTTTGACACAAATCTAGATTAAAAATTATAAAATAAACTACACGCCTTGTTAAATTTGAAATTTATAAATAGAACCGGAAGTGAGTATTAAACAATTCTTTTTTTTTCTAATAGAAGTACTAGACAATTCTTAAAATTAAAAAAGTGAGATCTTCTCAAAGTTATAATTAATATTTTTAAAAATAATCTTTAATAACCAAAGATAATATTATTTCCGAAACATAGCATACGCAGAAAAGTACAAAGAAAGTGATTTGATGAGTGATGATTATATGCTATAATCCCATTTGTGGGATCTCCATAACCAACCCACCAACCTCTCTTCTTTTCACCTCTTTCTTGCCTCCAACAATCCTCTTCTGAATCATAGTACTCTATGTACCCAAATACTGAGCACATTTTATTGTCAACGATGCCAAGTTCAGATCTCTTTCTAGCAAAGGAGAACCCCGATGAAGATGTCAGCATAAAACGCGCTCTCCAGTTTCAAAATCATCACTTCCATGAAAGCGTCCCGAACTGTGCCAAGTCTACGGTGATTTCTGACTTAGTCGTGTTAGAATCGTCGACGAGACTGGAGAATCCAATTTCAGATCTAAATCAGAGCTGGTTTGCCCGAAGAAACAGTTCCCAGTCTCATTCTACGGCCCAAATAGAGAAGAAGAAAGAAGGACGGGGAGGTTATGAAGCAGAAGATCCCTTATTATCAAAAGATAATTGTAAGCTAAAGGTAGAAGAGCAAGAGGAAGAAAATGATGAAGAAGAAGAACGAGAAGATGGGTTCAGAACTCCAACTTCTTTGGATCGCAGAATCCCAGAGGTCAAACAATGCCCACCTGCACCCAGAAAACCCAAGCTATCGCTAAAAAGAAAAGCAACTCACACGCGCAGTAGTACTCCACTTCATCTTTCATCAAAAGAGGTCCAACTATTATTCCCAGTTCAACATAACCCACTTTCCGATCCCCACAGAAGCACTAAGAAAGTTCGAAGAAATGACTCCTAGTGATCTCGTTGGCTCAAAAACTACCATGTTCCATAGTTTCCATGTGTGTGCTAATAAGGTGCAAGTGCAAAATTTTGCTTTTTAGCGTTCTTTTTTTTTTTTTTACCCTTTTTATCTGTCATTATTGTAGTTTGAAGGTTGGACCTTTCTATGTAACTCTCCTGGACTTCTGGTGTTTAAATCATGAGACGTACGCTTGGTGATTGGCACGTGTGTGATGAGAGTTGCATTGAAATTCATATAACTATCATGGGGTGGTCAGGAGTTTAATTTGAATTCCCAAACTGAAGGTGGGTTGAACATGATTATAGCAAATCTTCACTTACCGCTTATTCCAACCATGACGACGCCTGATGTACATGTTATGGTGGTGGGTTATTAGAAATAACTTTTTACTTTGTGATGTAAGAGAACTTGATCTCCAGAGAGTTTTGATTACCTTGATTGTTTTATCGTGTTGGGTTACTAATTGGTGTTTTGATAGGAATGATGATGCAAAGTCGAAGAATAGCAAAAGATAAAATGTAGCGTAGTGTAGAGAGAGAGAGAGAGAGAGAGAGAGAGGCTATTGTCTGTGTGATTGTAATAATTTCAAGTTTTGATTATTATCAGCTTCTTTTGTTCTTATATGAAGGTGTTTTTGCTATTATTACATACTGTATATAAAGGACGAGAACTTGTTCTGAAACTTCTGATGTATATTTGCTATATCGTGATATTCATCTCTTAAGGCCATCAGACGATTGCTTTCTTTAAGAAAACTGACAGATTCTTTCTTCGATTTGACGCTATATACGTAAGTCTGTCTTCAGATTTTAGGGAAGAAAGAATAGACAAGAAGCACAAGAAGTTGCCGCATTAATTAATTTGTCATATGCATTGTACAAAATGCAAGTTAAGTTGATGATCGGTTTTATTGTAATATAATCAGTGTCTATATACATGTGACGGCAGAAGATCTTCCAAGTCATCATCCTTGTTGAAAAAGTTTTCTACCTTGTCTATACTAACAAGTCAACCCTTTGCGAACCCTTCCTTGTTGGACATTTTCTCGCGCCCAAGCATAGGCTTATATATGTAAATATATACTAGCTAGAGTACATAACCATAATATGTATAGAGATGTGTATCATGATGACAAAACTGATGAGATTACCTTGACACCAGGATGTGAGTGACTGACATTTCATGGCACTGAGGCTGGACTTCCGTCTGTGACGCTAAGTCTGGAAATGATGAATTCCATCGTAAGATAGGAGATGGATAGGATTACGTACGATTGGAAACGAATCTCCCTTGGAGATACTATTGTATGTGTATTCCTGAAACTAATAAAGAAGCCATTAAGTAGAGAGAACTCAAAAGAAGCCGCTGCTGATCCTTTTAGGCAACCCGAAATTCTGGTAGCACCTAATTTCACCTCCTATGCTGGCGGTGGCAATGACCAAGCCCCATGCCACAGGATAACCTGATGAAGCCGCTGCTTGATTATTATCAGCGAGTGAGCGAGACGAAGAAGACCGGGAAGAGGACGATGCATTGGTCGCAGAGATAGCAGATGGATCATCATGCCTGGTCGAGCTGGTTGTTGAATCTGACGCCAAAGACTCTGTTCGCGATATGGCTGCGGGATCCACTTCTTGCTGGTCATTGGAACCACTGTCAGCGGCGGAGCTAGTATTTTCCTCGTTATTATCATTAGTTTTGGAGCTGGTTTCAGCGTCGGTGGCATTTTTCTTAGGAGGAAGGGGCGGCAACGTGGGCGGTGAATCTGTGGTGGAAGGATCTGATTCCTTCTTGTTGGGAAGAGGGGGCAGATTACCTGTCTTACCTGTCTTCTTGGCTTGAGGGGGATCGCCCTTGATGGTGAAAGGCCATGGCACTGCCACAGAAACATCCTTACAAGGGAAGCTCTCAAAAGCTCGAGTCATAACTAATGCTCTCGCTTTCGCATTGTTGCCTCCTTGTCGAGGTTCATCATACTTCCACACATAAACTTGAGAATCTTCGCTTGCACTTATAACATGTCTTCCATTTGGACTGAATGAAGCTGCGATTTGACTGTTTGAATTTCGGAAACCTGTTCACGTAATACCTATATATGTTAACATTATTCTATCCAAAGAAAGACTCATGATATACATGCACGTATATTCCAACGTGGTTCAGGGTTGTGATGGCACCTTGGAACTTATGAACAACTTTTGTGCCTTCTACAATCTTAATCCTGGAATCAGCGGAAGTGACAAGCACTTCTGATGGATTGCTTGGTGCAAACTGAAAAACATATACAAGGCCCGTAACTAATTTGCATGTTCCTGCCATACTATCAAACTGCTTCCAATAATGGGAGCAAAACTAAAGCTATATAGCCAGCTACTATATCATAATTACCTGAAAGCCGGTGATTTTTCTCAGCGGAGCTTTCTTTCTCTGTTGTAAGTCAATCGTGCTTGTTTGACTTAATTTGCAATCTGCAACATTTTAGGAATTCATGACTTCCAAGTTTTGCAGGATGGTGATGAATGTATATAGAGAGGAAGTGGCTGGCTAGTACCTTCTGTGCCGTACATACAACAAGTGCCATTATGTGTACCAACAAGAGCAGCCTGCAACGTTGATAGCTTGCACAATCATATTGCGTATACTGGAGAACAGAACAAGAGTTGGGTAGAGAAGGCTCACCTGACCATCAGGAGTGTAAGAAACGGCGGTGACCATTTCATGGACGTCAGCCCAATCCACGACTTGTCGTCGAGGAATGCTCCATATTCTGATCTTAGCATCAAGGGACCCACTTATGAAATAATCCTCCTCTATTGGATTGAACTGTACGCACGTTACTGTGCAGCACCAAAAACATATGTATATAGCAGCACATCAGGCCATTACAAATACCATCACTATGTAGTTTTTTTTTTCACACCAAAAATATGGCAACCTCACCATAGTCATTGTGGGTGAACACCTTCAAGCACGTCTTTAATTCCAAGTCCCATAGTCTCACTGTTTTATCCATTGAAGACGAGAGAAGTAACTGCAATTATTACAAAGAGAGTAAGCGCCTCATTCAGATATGGTAGTTTAGCACTTTAGCTCATTAGGCGTTTCATTATGAGATAAATAATTTTGTTATCCATCCAATTTCAGCTCATGTAGATTTTGGCCCTTGGTTTAAACATGCAGGAATTTCCATAATGAAAATTAAGTGGGCTGACCTGACATTTGGACCAAGACAAGTCCAAAACGTCTTCGGAATGACCTTGGAAAGTGCAGAAGGGCTTGTCCGAGAGGGAGAACACAGTCTCGGGCACATGAACGTGCTCCGGGACCTTATCATCCTTTTTATTCCCAGATTTGCCCTTCTTCTCCTCCGCCGCGCCCTCATTGGTGGCCGACGAAGCAAGCAGCGCCGGATGAAGTGGGGTAAGATTGCCTTCCCCTGGGGTCAACGACATGAGCTCGCACTCCTGCACTTCCCACACATGAATCACCTTATCCTCCCCTCCACTCGCCAGATAATGGCCGTCCCAGCTGAACTTTATGGTCCAAATGCCCCCTTCGTGAGCCTGAAATTCTTGACACATATGTAACGCTGAGAGCTCTTTGTGAGTTTTCCCGCTCTGCCTAACCCTAATCCATTCGTTGTTCTTAGTCTGTTTCTGATTAGGATCTGTGTTGGCTGGTTGTGCCGCAGATGGAGGCAGAGGAGGCAAATTAGGAGGCGCTGATTCTTTGATGCTCTCTGACCTCTCTCTTTCTCCAATGAACCCACTTGCCACACCCTTTAGGTTCTTCAACAGAGCAGCCCCAGTTTTCTTACTCATTCTCAAGCTCTTGTTCAGGTAGTAGTTCGCACCTGGCTTACTCTCATCGTTTTTGTCTCGCCCGCGTCGCATGAGCTCTTTGACGATTGGAGAGTGTCCTACGGATTTCTCGAACTCTTCCATCGTTAGTTTTTTCCCTGTTTGTATGTCGTTTAGACTGCTCCAATTGCCATCACCGCCGGGGTCCTTCCCAGTGACGATAAACTCTTTCCCGGTGTCGAGGTTCTTGATGAGGAAGAAAGAAGCAAACCTGGTGTTTGACACGATCGCGGTTAGTTTACGGCCGTGCTGGCGTTTTGATTGTTGATCCCCTGAAGCCCCTGAACTGGCGTCGTCTTTCGCCGCAGCAGGGGCGGGGCTCCAGTATGTGTAGGGGCACATACGAGGACGAGCCAGAGTGATCTCTGACGACGTTCTTGTCAGACGCTGCTTTGAGACCTTACCTGCAATGAGCAATAAAGAGTGGCAGTCTACTTAATAAGCTCACTGAGGATGGCAGTTTGAATGGTAATTTCATGAAAAGAAAAGATGAGTATCTATCTAATTTACAAGTCATTCAAGTATTTCCAAGTGAAGGGTGCAAAATTATTATTTTTGGATGATATCTTGGGGCACATTCTTCTCAGGAAAAACTAATCAAGGAACCAACACTAATCAAGCATCTTTTTAGTAACCATACCTATGAGTTCCTCTTTCCTCATCTTGGGCAAGGAATAAGTATCGCAATCTACGTCTCCGTCGGAACGCGACCTGACGAGAACGAATGGCACAGGGGATTGCTCTGTTTTATGCTCATCCGATGGCGGCAAAAACACTGTTTTATGCTCTGTTTTCTTCTCATCGCTTGATTCAGCAGCTGCAGCAGTAGTATCAGCAGCATCGGCTTTAGGTGCTATAACAACAGGCGCATCACGGGAATCAGGAACCGTCGCCTCTTCGGGCTTACCGGACGAATCAGGCCGGGGCGAAGCATTATTCTCGAACTTCCTCGTCATTGCACGGCCGATTGCTATGCTGGCCAGCCGCAAACTCTCCTTGTTCTCGTCTAGGCCCATTCCGTAAAGCAATCGCCTCCTCCGTTCAGTGATCGATCCTGGTGCCGCCATCCATATGTTGTAGTCGAAGTCAGGGATCGCCACTGCCATTGGTACCGTCGACGCTTTTCTTGTCATGATTCTGAATCTTTGAGAATTTGACGAGAATGACATGCGGCTTTCTTGGAATTCCTCGTCCTCGTCCGATGACGAAGCTCCGTCCAAGCTCTCGAAGAAGTGCTCGTCGTCATTGTCGTCGTCAACACCTTTCCAATTCATCGTCATTGTTTTCTTGCGCTCCATTTTGGAGATTTTAATTCTGTTGCAGGCAGATAGAAGACGGATGAATCTCACATAAACATGACGATGCAGCGAAACGTGGAATTTGGTGAAAAGATCACAGGAGGAAAAGTGAGGAAGAAAGAAACAACAACAGAGACAAAGGTATTGGATATTATAATTTGTTTTCTTTCTTTCTTTCTTCTTTTTTTTTTTAATTCGATTGATGTTCGAAAGATGTATTGGGACTGAGAAAGAAGTGGAAGAGAGGAAACGAGGGAAGGAGAAGAGGATCGTTTAGCTTCTGAATTTTGGAGGTAAAGAAACTGTCAACGGTTTTCTTTTTCTTCTGCCAATCATTTTCTTGGCCCGTTCTTATTTGGAAAATTATCAGTCAACTTGCTTATTTTTCCTAGGGTGATCTTTGGGACGGATTCTCACTTTAATGGTTAAAAATTTAGTGAGTGTTGTTGGCGGGTAAAAAAAAATTAGTGAGTGTTACCCTTAAAAAAAGGATGCAAATATAATAATGCATTTAATGGGGCTTTCTTCATATTTGTATTTTTTTCCTTATTTATTTAATAATTATAACCTTTTTTTATTAATTTGCTAGTTTACATTTTATATTTGATTTTTAAATATTGAACTCATGTTTTAAAAGTGAAATTGGAAATTACACCATAAATATCTCCAGATCATAGGTTTCATGGTTAAACTGGCAATCCTTAATACATAAGATTGAATTGCTGAGTTGATTATGGTCATAAATATAGGACTTATTTTTCATATTGATTAATTTTTTCTAAATTATTCTTATAGATATTCCTTCAACCATAATTAAGTAAAAGAAGAAGGAAGGATATTAAGAAAGATGATTATGGTATTTCAAGAAAAACATATCATATTTTTTATAATTAACTAATTTTATACATACTTCTAATTTACATACTTTTCTTCATCTAAATAGGTCTTATATTAATGACCAAAGGAGTATATGTATATAAATGTGTCATCCATTTTATCTTAATTATTTATATAAACAAAAAATAACAATATAACAATTAAAAAGTGGTAAAAGCGTTTAATTTTGGATGCAAAGTAGTACATGCATTAATGATATGCTCTGCTAAAACTCAAAAGAAGAAAGTTTAAAATACAAAAAAAAATTAAATTTAAATCTAAAAGACATGAGAGGAAATTAGAAGAAAGTCAAAGACTCTAGTTGTGATCAAAAGTCAAAACACGAAAATGGAGAGTAAGCAACCAAACAATTATGCCGGGCCGGGAAAAAAAAATTATGGTTCTGCTTCCGACGGCGCCGTTTAGATCTTTTCCAGACGAAGCCGATTCAAATTAAAAAAACCCGCGCATCTTCCGATCTCCGGATCAGAGTGGCAAGATGGGATTCACATTCTCACAGTCGTGAAGAAGCCTTATCTTCTTTGGTCAATTCATTCGCCCGTCTGAGTCACACTACGAAATCCCAACACTTTCCGTCCTCCCCTATCTCTGAGCTGCTCAATCGAAAACTCTGCTCTTAATTCGCCCCGACTTCAGAAAATGGCCTCCCCAATAGCGTACTCCCAAATCGACGACAAGGACCTCGACGACGCCGCTTTGTGGGCTGTCATCGATTCCGCCACCGCCTCCCGTTCCGCAACCAAGTACAAATCCCTTGCCATCAAATACAATAATAGCACATCTCCATCTCCGATCTCAAAACCCTTGCCCCCGACCAAGGTCCAGAGAATCGCGAGGGACTCCCCTTCGGCTTCAATCGAATCCAAGGCTACAGGCGACGGCGAAGTAGACCATGAACCTTGGTCATTCCGGCCTCCTAGGAAGGTTGCAAGGATTTGTTCTTCGGAGACAAGCGAGAGTAGTCCTCTGGTTCCGGTGAAAAATGGGCAGCGAACTCCACCGGTAGCAGCTTTTTATTCCTCACCGGAGGCCCATCTGTCGCCTGAGATAGGGAGGCTTCGAGTGCAAGAGATTAGTCCTTATACAGAGGTCTCTCCGGGGCATAGTGGCAGGAGCGAAGAGAAGGAGATCACGACGCATGGCTTCTCTGGCAAGTTCCCTTCAGTTTCATTGTTCAAGGAATACCAAAATACAGCTATGGCGGTAACTATCCGATATACTAGTTAATATGTTTAATTTGCTGGAAGCTTTTGGACTTCTACCGATGTGATGTCAATTCTTCTTCCTTCCAATATCCTGCTTAATGGTTTAGTCAGCGATGAATGCAAAATTTGAAAATGAGAAGGATGCTTCATTGTTATAGAACGGAAGAGATAAGTGAATCATATAATTGACACAAAGAAACATTGAGAGGTCTGTATCTAGGATTACTCTATCTTATCTATTGTACTGTTAGTATAATGCTCATATAAAATCATAATTCTTACTATCATTTCCATCTTTTCAACGCATTCTCTTGTGAGGCTTATCCAACTCCGATCAATTAGACAGCTTGGAGATGCAATTTTTTCCCTCCTAACTTTGATGCTGAACAAATAATTGCACATCTAAGCAGCGTTTTTGTTTAAATGTCCTTACTGATTGAAACCACATTTTCTTGACAACCATAATAAGCTTGCTTGAGTAGATATGTTCGAGGACTTTGATTTTGGTGATACTTGTAACCCAAAGGTACATGAGCAGCTGCTTTCCAATGGGGGCTAAGCAATAAAATTTATGTCCGTCCATCTTCCTGCATATGATATTACACATGTCTCGCCACAAGAAGTCATGCAAGTAACCATTGTTGATTTCTTGTTATTTGCAAGTATCTAACACAGGAGTTTAGTGGCGGTAATTTTGTTCTATTAGCTGCGATTTTTTTGGTCCTTTTGGGGAGAGGGGGCCCGACTCTTAGCTGCAATTTTTCCGACCAATATATTGTCGATTTCTTGTGTCTTCAATGGACAGATTTTGGAGAAGACGGATTACACATAATTTCGGGGAAGCCTTTCATAAAAAAGTCAGGTAAACGAAGTTTCTTCTTTGTTCGTTGAACTTAGTAGATCAGATCAGATGTAATATGCTGCAAGTGCTTCCTACAGGTTGGAGGAAGATATCTTGCTTCTTCAATATTTCTTTTGAAATTAGAGACAAGAATATTGAATTTGATGAGAACCGTAATGTTCAACGCGCTGAGTTTGTGGCTCGGGCATACATGCAGTATGTTTCCCTATTCGGTAGTTGCAATTCATGTTACTTCTCTAATTGCTTTTCGTTTTCACCACAATCACGTTGCCATTTTATGGTTAACCCCATCACTATCAGAGGGGGTAGGTTCTCTGATGGTTGGGGCTCTTGTGAGCGGCGTGAGAAGCGATTTCAGAAACCGAATCATGACGTACCAAGCACGGCAGAGACTAGAGCCAAAAACAAAGCGTGTCAAGTAAGTCATCTTTTATCAATGTCCTAAGTTTCCCCATTTATACTTGAAGTTATTCGTTACTATATAGCTCTTGTTGCTTTTCCTCCACCTATATACTTCAAGTGACTTAATAGTTCATATAATCATCTCAAATTTACTTGTACTTCATGTGGCTACATGGTCATGTGGCCAGCCAATATATGCTAACCTCGTATCATTTAATAAGACTTGGTTTTTCTATTAAATGCATCGATGATCTTTCAGCCAAAACATGTTGCTTCATATTCAGGTTCCTGTTACTTAAAAATTTTGTTTTTTTAGCCACAAATGCTCATTCCCCATTTTATGCTGCTTGTTAATATGAATTTTTTGTCTTTTGTCTTTTTTTTTTTTAAATTCACTTGCTCTCTCTGTTTGATCGTATGCATTACTTATTATGCTTGCCTTAAGAATTCAATGTTTTCCCAGACCAAATTCAAATGCTGTATTATTTTACTAATTTCTGGTCTGACTATACTTTTCCAGGACTTACTAGGAATTGGAGAATACCGATCTGGTGATGGTGCAAGCTAAGTTGGTTACTGATGTTGTAATATTACAGATACAGTTTACAGATGACTGTTGATTGTAACGGCTTTTTTCCCAGACCATGGGCTTTCTCATTTTTTTCCTTTGCCCTGAAGTTTTGTCAGGGTTGACGACAAAATGAGCTAAACACAAAATTGTGTGTAAAGCTATAATACTCCAGTGGGATCGCATACATGAAAATAGCAAATCTATAATACTTCTACGATGCTGTCCTTTTCTTCTTGTTTCCCGTTACAGATTCTGTTTTATTATAATGTCGATATTCTTTCCTATTTCTAGAGAGATATTCCAGTTACATGATTTACTTTTCAATTCATACAAAAATTTTCTTGAAATGAAAGTACAACCAAAATTTGTTCAATAATAATTCTGATCAAATCCAATATATTTAACAATTCAGGTTTACTAATATGATTAATATGTATAAGATAATGATGTGAATTAATTGTCCCCCAAATAAGTAAAGTGTGAGTTTTTGTTGGCCGAAATAGGGTGCAAGTTAATTTATACAATAATCAGAACATATATAAACGCATTTAATGAAATAAATTTAAGAACTAACATTTATTTGGGGACAGGGGCGTTAATATGTCTACCGGAATTGCTCTAACCTGCGCTACTTCAACCAACTTCTGTTCCCCACAAACCTGGGTCTTGGTAGAAAGTCATTTTCTCATCTTCCTCTCTCTCTCTCTGACTTTTCCGTGGTTTTCACTTTCCAGAGGAAACGCTGTTGAATTGTTTTAATTTGGAGCCAGAAACCTCCTGTGTCTATTTCTTATGCCGTTTTAAGTATCCCAAAATTTACACTATTGCTGTTGAATATGGACCCCTTTTAGTTATTTTTGAATTCGACCTGTTTGGTGTTATGTCTCTGAGAGTGTAGGATGTGAAAATGACACTAATTTCTTTTCTTGAACCCTCTTTCCTTCACTCATCCCTCTATTTCATTTAAATCTCGCCTTAGCAAATCCTTCAGCCAACGCACTAATCATGGCTCTGCAGGTACATCATCTTCTTCATTATGCATTTTTTAGGCTCTTTACTTTGAATCATTTGGAGTGTTTCTGAAATATGGGGGAACGAAGTTTGAGGATGTTTTCCTCTTCGTTTTACCCAATTTGGGGTTGAGGTCTTGGGGTGGGTGATGGTCAGAATTTAAAGTGCTTGAAAGTTGAAACGGTAAAAACTTCGTTTTTCTCAGAGATCAATCGTATTTACCGACTTTGGAACATATAATTTGGTTCAAAAACTTAGAGTACTAAAATTTGAATTTGTTAATATACTTTTTGTCTAGTCAATTCATTTTAAGATGGTCATTTTTGAATTCCAAACAATGATGATGCAGGAAGGATGGCCCTTGGGATTACTGAATGGGAGGATTGGGTTAGTGGAAACTGGCAGTGATTTCTCCGGATCAATACTAACTGCTTCTCCCACTTCTTTCACTCATTCTTCTCCAGATCTTGAATCGCAGGTTGGTCTTCTTTCAAGATAACCTGAGCTTCTAATTAAGTGGAACCAATTCATAGTAGTTACTCTGTTTTTGCTTCTCTTTATTATTATGGCTGGATTTTCTCGGTAGTTTCCCGAATGTCTCTCTTTTAATTTTCTTGGTGTTTGTATCTATCAATTTGATCATACTAATATATTGTTCATATCATTTATCAATTACTGTCATTATTTATTTTACTTTGATATAAATAATTGTTTTGATAATGAGATTATTCACATCATTATTTTTCTGTTAAAGTGGATAAACAAAACAAAAGCAAAACAAAATTGAAAAAAAAAATAATGCAAGGGTTCAAACATAACTACAATGATTGAGGAATGAGAAACAGCGATGACACTTTTGTGACCATTGAGAGAGAGGGACTGAGGGAGGGAGGGAGGAGAGAGAGAGCCTTTTATTAAAACAATCAAATACTATTTCCTTGAAGAAGTAAAACCGTCCATCACTTGTTCAACAATGCTTGAGGCTTGAGATTTTGCAGGAAGTTATTTTGAGCCATGCCTCATATATGTGTCTTGTGTGTTATAGTCCCCAGGATCGTTGTACAATGAAAAGACCACCACACTTGGAAGGCTAGTTGGTGATTTTTGCCCCTTGGAACTCTCACAGAGATCTACAAGGGCAAGAACAAGAATAGCGATGAAACCCTCGAAGGACAACAATAAGAAGAGTCCCAAGATGAAGCCATGGCTGCCCTCCTTGTGTTCAAAGCAAACCACTGATGCAGTGAATGTGAAGGATTGTCCTTCTCTTCGTCACTACCTTGAAGCTGAGAGAAGAGCTGCAGCTTCTTTCAGATTCAGCCATTCCATCTATTCTGCTTCCCATTTTCCCCCAATTAAACGCTCTAATTCTCTATCATAACTGCACATTCTCAGAGTTGAGAATCTATCCTGTTTACCAGAATTTTACTTTTTTTAAGCCTTTTTCCTTTTTTTCCCCCTTTATTCATGTTTGTGTAAAATAGAAAAAGAAGAATACTTGAAGAAATTTATGCATCCTCTTTTGATGCCTCTATCATCTGTTTCATTGTGGTATGCAGAAAAATGATGACTTCTTGTTACTGGTTTCCTTTAATGTGAGATTTTAGCTGCCCAAGAGTGCAGCTGGTCTTGTTATGTTCCGTTCAAATTTGAAAAATTTCATTTTAGTTTAGTCTGTCAAAGAATACATATTTCATAAATAATTTCACTCTCCAATATTGAGAAGCAAAGATGTTAATGTACCTAGCTTTTGCATTTAAATATTCTTATAGGGGGTGTTTGGATATCCAATAATCACTTTTCAGAAACATTTTTTTGTGAATCGATATAAATTTCTTCATATGTTTATTTTGTATACCGTAAAAACACTTATAAAACTATCTTTTTGATCCATTATAATAACTGCTCGAAAAGGAGTGGTTACTGGTTAGTTTAGACTTCAGAGGCCAACGCTCGCTAAAGGGATAAAGTACCCAACTTCCATTTTCCTACTTGATGGCGATGCGGCTTTCAAACTAAAGCTGCAGGAGCTTCGGTTAGTATATCACCATCGTCCTCTCCATTCTTTCAAGCGTAAGAACAACACTCACACCAAAAATGCGCTACCGAACTTCTGATCTCAATCAAATCTTCATGCCTTTGCCAACTCACACTTTTAGAAACACATCTCACGAACCTATATGCTCTCTTATGTCCTAAATTCTCATCCTCGATCCCAAGCGATGATGAAACGAAACCACATTCCCCCTTATCATTCAGATCGGAAATGGCTCATGCCCACCATTACAGGTTTTTCTCTTTTTTTCATCCTCCTGGTCACCTTTCGCGCGCTTAGCAAATCTTCTTCGGGTTCTGGATCTTCCTACGACGGACCCAATTTCACCCGTTTCGATCCAAACGACGCATTGGGGCTTCCGGTTTTGCCCAGATTTGCGTACTTGATAACAGGTACCAAAGGAGATGGACCACAGCTCAAGAGGATTCTTCAAGCAGCGTATCACCCCAGGAACTACTATATGCTGCATCTTGATCTCGAAGCTTTGGATGCTGAAAGACTCGAGCTTGCCAAGTATGTGAAATCTGAAGTTGTTTTTAGCGAGTTTAGGAATGTGATGGTGGTAGGTAAGGCAGACTTGGTTACTTACAAGGGTCCGACGATGATTGCTTCTACCCTCCATGGAATTGCAATGCTTCTGAAGCTTAAAAGGGATTGGGATTGGTTTATTAATCTAAGCGCGTCTGATTATCCTCTCATGTCACAGGATGGTGAGTTTTCAGATACAGATTACGCCCTTTTGCTAACTTTGCTCATATTATTGCCATCGTGATGGTGGATGATAAAATGAATGCGTGGACTTTGGGACGGACACTTGCTGTTCTTGAGCTTCATATGCCGATGATATCGATTACTGTACACTGTTCAACTATGCTTTTGATAATGGAACTGTAAAGAAAATAATGCCATTTTTCCCCTCAAAAGATTCTTTACAATGGATATATTGGCAGTTATCATTCAAGGTGGATGCGATTCTCGGACTTCAGCCCACCAAAGGAGATACCTTAACCATACGCATCGATAAATCCAATAGAGGTTACTTAGTAGCGCTCGGTCATAGGTCATGGTATAAAATTATTGGTGTCATGCCTATAATCTATTCCCATTCGTTAATATGTTTCTAACTGATATGGGGAAAGCCTTCTTCCTTGGGTTTTAAGCTTTCTAATCATGTAAAAGGAACATGTATTTAGTTGTTTTCTCTGTCTGGATACTGAAAACAGGAACAATGCAACGTTCTTGTTTGATACTTCCCAATTTGTCCTCAAATATTCTAGTTTAGCTTAACTGTGGTATCTGCAAATATATCAATCTGTACTTTCTTATGTTTTGTGGCTCTTAAATAAATTCGATTTTGTGATATTTTCCAATTGCTGACCATTTTATATCATTTCTTGCTTCAGATCTTCTACACATATTCTCATTCATTCCCACGGATCTAAACTTCATAGAGCACACAAGTAGTATTGGCTGGAAGGAGTGAGCATAATAGTGTTACCTTGATGTTGTTTCAGTTTGTTTTTGAACTTAATGGTTTAAATTTTACATATTGCTTTTAATTTGTATACTTGTAACTGTTATTTCAGGAGTCAAAGAGCTATGCCTATCATTATAGATCCAGGCTTGTATCATTCAAAGAAATCTGGTGTTTATTGGGCTAAGGAAACAAGGTCTGTCCCATCTTCTTTCAAGTTATTCACAGGTATTAGTTTAAACTTACTTTTAAGCTTTATATGAATTCTCTTGTCTCTTCAATTATCCAGACAAACTTTTTATTTTTGCTCCTCTTCTTTTGTCAATTCTATCCTAATAGGAATCCAATTCTTTCATAATTGTTTTCTCATGAATTATCATATACATACAGATCAGTAACAATACATGATATGGCTCTCTTTGAATTTGTTGTCCACAGTAGGTTTTGTACACGTTATTAGTTATAATTTCCAATTCCTGTTATTTGTACAGTGCTAAGTTGTTGCGAGATTGATAATCTCGGTGGATGTTGCACTGTGAAGTCGATGGAAAAACTTGAAGATTTTTTACCTAACAAATCTTGGCATATTGGTCTGTATGGGACTTAAAACATCTCTAAATTGGTTTTGTAATTTTCACGGGAGAACTGCCACGGGACAGCCTCTCTTTAACTCGTGACTTTATCTCTGGAAAGTTTAACCGCTGGTCAAGTGCTTGTTTCAGAGCCATGTTAATTTCATGAAGCCATTGCATGACAGAGAAAACTTCTGAATAAGAACTGGCCTGAAAATCACATCAGTAGAGCACTAGGAAGTAAACTATGCTTGCAGTTCTGTCTGGTTGTTTCTCACATGCAGAAGTTTTATGTTCTTCTAATCTCTTGAGTTACTCTTGTTGTTATGTGCTCAGGTTCTGAATGGGTTGTCCTGACAAGATCGTTTCTAGAGTTTTGCGTTTGGGGTTGGGATAATCTTCCTCGCACTCTTCTGATGTATTATACAAATTTTGTGTCATCCCCTGAAGGCTACTTTCATTCTATCATCTGCAATCACAAGGACTATCAGAACACTACTGTAAATCATGACTTGCATTACATAAAATGGGACAACCCTCCAAAACAGCATCCTATGTTGTTGAAATTGGAACATTTTGATGACATGGTTCAAAGTGGTGCACCTTTTGCTCGAAAGTTCGCCAAGGACGATCCCGTTCTCAACAAAATTGACTCAGAAATCTTGAAGAGATCAACCGGACATTTTACACCTGGAGGTTGGTGTGTGGGCTACTCTGTGCTGGGCAAAGATCCTTGTGCACTTCATGGCAATCCAGTTGCACTTAAACCCACTTCAAGTTCAAAGAGGCTTGAGAAACTATTGGTGAAACTGTTAGATTCTGAAAATTTCAGGTCCAAACAGTGTAAATAACTAGGGAAAGAAATTAAATTTTCTACCCATATCCTGTACAGAGTTTTTTTTATTCCTTCCCGAGAGAGACATGAGCATACGAATGAAGCTTCAAAGAATGGCCTCCAGGGGAGATTCAAAGGAGCATTTTTCAACCATTAACACAGGTTGTGTATAAGTCGTTGGTAAAAATGTAATTTAAGATTGATCGAAACAAAATTTGGGGGAAGTCGAGCTCAAGCTTAACCAAAATTGATTCTTCCTCATGGGCAAATGATGGGCCCATGATGAATGCGCTGATTGTGTATCTTAACTCATTAGCTGTAAGGATTATGTATTGTGGGTTTTTCGTACAATTTTACCACTGTTTATGGCTTAGTCCATTAGACTTGTATTTGTGGATTGTTTTCTGTGTTTCAACATCAATTCTGGACTGGGGTGCATCAGAAAGCAAGTTGGATGCATGGTGTCATTCTTCCCTCCCCATGTATGCATCAATCAATCTATATTCATGATGGAGATAACTTAGGTCCTGTTTGAAACGAAGGAATAGAGAATGAGATTATGATTGAAAAAATTCATTAAAAAAGTATTTAGTATAAATAATTGTTTGTTATATAGGTTAGGTAAACCCATAGATATGAGATTGGAAAATAACACTTCTCTCATGGTATTCTCTAATCCCGCATGCATGAGTTTATCTAATCCTACATAACAAGTAATTTTTCATGCTAAATACGCTTTTAATAAATTTTTTCAATTTCAATTACAATCTGTACCTCTCATTTTTAATAAAGAACCTGAGGATAGCTTTAGTGAACAGTGATGGTTAAATCAAATTTTGTATACCGAAAAATTTATATCATGAAATTCACTCTCAAACAGACTCAGCAATACTCAAATATAAAATGGAACCCTATTGAATCTAGATAATTCGATATTAAAAGGTCATTCGGATTTATTTTAAAAAAAAAAAAACAGGTCACTGGGAAGAGATTCTAAAATGTTAATACAGATAATAGGGGAGTAATGATTGAAAAGTCAACATGCTTTTTTTGACTAAAATGTTGTCCTCTCATTTCTCTGATGGGAATACAAGTCGTCTTCCTTGTGTCTTAAGGCTTCCCACTGTGTCCAATAATTTGTGGACTGCCCGTGGCATCATCTTGCGACTCATCCATCCTACGTTATGTATACATATTTCTGATGTTACGTTATTTCGCCGTTTTGATTCATAATGTATTGTTGCAGTATAAGTAACTGGGTTACTTAATTCACTGCATTATTGACACCTTTTATTTAACTTTTGAGTCATGCCGATATTTTCCGGAGATTCGCATCTTGACATGACACGAAAGTAAAAGAGTTCGTCTTTTGTTTTGTTTTACTTTTGGTTCCGTTTCTGCATCAAAATTTACATTTTAGCCTAAACAGAATTAGGGTGTGTTTGGTACGAGAAATTTAAAGAGGAAAGGGAGGGGAGGGGAGGGGGAGTGATTTTAATCATTTCTCTTTGTTTCACAACATACAAGTTTTAGAAGGGAAGGGACTCTCCTTCCCTCCCATTCCCTCCATTAAAATCCTTTCGTTCCCCTTCTCTCGTTTAGCCAAACATACCCTTAGTCATTACAATTATAAAGTAATTTTTGACTCGCAAGTCGCAATGTCTTCGTTGTTTTTGATTTTGGAATACAAGAGAGACGACTGACCTTGCAAATCATTTCGTACACATGCACGCACGCTCCTAATTGTCATTATCTACTTTCCTCTTTTTCTTCATATGCAAAGTGAATTTTCATCTTCAAAGATTTTCTCTATACGCAAATGAGCTAAATTAATTCTAAAACAAGATGTGGTAAAATAATCAAATTAAAAGAGAGGGTATAAATTAAAAAACAGAGAGATTAAAATTCATTCGTAACTTTCATTATATTTTTGGGAGAGAATATGGAAATGTAAAACAAGAGATTAATATAACTTGGGAATTATATTGTAGTTAAAGATGCATGGAGGGCAATGGTAGCGTGTACTGATTTATATAATTAAGAAAACATGGCTTTTGTAATTTCCCCTCTTGATTCATAAATTCCAAGAACGTAACGGAGATCACGTATGTTCAGAGCCTCATGCATAAACCAATGTTATTATAGGACTGGAAATTTGTGTCTACCAGCCGCCTATGTAGCTTATTGAATTTTCACCAATAAGTACTTTACTTGTGATGATTATTACGTGCAAATATGCATGAATTTTTTTTTTTGAAGAAATCTTTTCCCACAAATGCATGTAAATACGACAGCAGTTAGTCCTAGTGAAAGAGCTAAGACTACTTAAATAAAATATTTTGGGTTTGAATTTGCATGAATATGAGGAAAAAAGATTTCTTTTAATGATTCATTCTTTGTTATCTATCATGTTTACAGAAGGGTTGAACGTAATAAAACCCTTGAAAGAGGTATTTAGTAGTCTCATCGGATATATATAAGCTCGTAAACAAAAGAATCGTTATTTAGAAGTTTGATAGTTTTGAGACGGTAAAAACATATTAAAACAAATTAAAGAGAGAAGGTAGTTAATTAGGTATTTTGTAATTGTGGTGAAGTGGGCGCGTGAAGGGGAAAAGGGTGGGGAAGTCATGCAGGGCAAAAGCCAGAAAGAAAGAAGTGAGTGGGGAAGGCGAGAAGAGGCCACACCCTAACAAAGGCTCATTCGGTCAGGACACACGACACTAACCCAAACCCAATCCTCCTTTTCCATTTCATTATCATTTAAGTTTCCTCATCACATATATATAATACCACCATCATCATCAAAGTTCATTTGCGCTGGCCTTAGCTTCCCCACCTCATAGCCCTGCCCTTCATCCAAAGCACATAGATACACATCCATTATTATTTATTTACTTAATTAATTCTCCTGAGAGCGCATCAAAAAGAAGCTTATGGGTTAAGAAACACACAGCAACTTCATCCTCAAAACCCTAAAAAGCAATAAAACAAAAAGAGGCCCGCTTATGAGAAACTGCGCAGTTCATATATATAAATACTTAAAAACCTCCTCCTTTATTTTTGCTTCTCTCATTCCCTCCTCCTCTCACTTCCTTTCCATCTCTCTCTAACTCTCCCCTATGATGTGATTCTCTCCTCTCCTCTATCTATCTTTACAAAAGAAAGGCGCCCAGAGCAAGAGCCATGGTTTTTTCTTCCATGCATCCTTATCTTGATCCGGCCAACTGGCATCAACAGGTAAACTTTAAGTGTTTTTCCTTCAAATTCTCCCCACTCCTTACCTTAATTCTATCTTGTATGTGCTTTTTTTTTGTCCAAAAGGCATAATTCTAAAAACAATATTCTTCTCACTTTTGTTTACCTGCTTCCTGAATATACTAACATATTTCATCTCTGCTGCTTCTCCATCTTTTTCTGTTTTTATTAATATCAATTTTGCTTCTTCCTCCTCTTCTATGTTGTTGCAGCAACCCAATCATCAGGTTGGAAGTAGCAGTGGCCCGGGTTCTCAGCTTCTTCCTCCTCCTCCGCCGCCGCTGCCCCCTACTCAGGCTCATGGTGCCAGTGGCTCCGGCTCCATCAGGCCTGGTTCCATGGCTGATAGGGCTCGGATGGCCAACATACCCATGCCGGAGGCGGCGCTAAAATGCCCTCGCTGTGATTCCGCCAATACTAAGTTTTGCTACTTCAACAACTACAGCCTCTCTCAGCCTCGCCACTTCTGCAAGACCTGTAGAAGGTACTGGACTCGAGGCGGGGCCCTTCGAAGTGTCCCGGTCGGTGGGGGTTGCCGGAGGAACAAGAGAAGCAAAGGAAGCAGCTCAAAGTCGTCGCCGGTGAGCTCAGATTGCCACACAGGCAGTGCTAGTTCAACCAACTCAGCGTCTTCCAACAGTGCTTCTGCTGCTGATATAGTTGGCCTTTCGCCTCAGGTTCCATCGCTGAGGTTCTCGGCTCCTTTGCATCAACTCACAGAGTTTGGATCCGGAGAGATGCGATTGAACTATGGTTTGAGTAATTATAGCGCAATTTCAGGTCCAATGGGAGGAGTAGGTGACTTGAGTTTCCATATAGGAAACGCTTTGGCAGGGGGAGCAAGCGGCAGCGGCGGAGGTTTGGAGCAGTGGCGGATGCCACAAACACAACAATTTCCCTTCTTAACTGGTTTGGAAGCTTCGCCTGAATTGTACCAATTTGAAGGTGGAGCTACGGTGCCGGGATATGGCGGCGGCTCAAGTCAACTCCGGCCAAGGGTGCCAACTGGCGTAATAACTCAACTAGCTTCAGTGAAAATGGAAGACCATAATCACCGGGAACCGAATTTTTCAAGGCACTTCTTGGGGATGAATAACAATTCAACAAATCACGAGCAGTATTGGAATACTACAGCCGGTAATTCTAATACTGCTGCTGCTAATTGGACTGACCTTTCCGGGTTTATCTCTTCTTCCGCTACTAGCAGCAATCCGCCATAGGAATAACAAAAGGAAATCTCAGTTCCTTTATGTGCTGAAGCTTCTGGTTTTTTGTTAGTATGGCTTCAATTTCATTAACAAATTAAACTTTAGTACTCCTCAATTTGTCCCGACATCGAGAGAAGAGCTTTCGAGGATGGATGGTGAGTGCTTTGTTTCTTTAATTAAGATCTTATGATTTGGACCAAAAAAGTTAAGATCCTGTGAAAACCCTAGGAATATGTGTTAGTTATTCTTCGTTTAACCTGTTTTTTTTTTTTTCCACTTTAAATAGTTGTAGGTTGCATTGTTAATTATGAGGATGTTAATGTCCAATAGAGTGACTTTATGTGTTCACCAGTCGAATGAATATTTTCATTTGCAGCAGCTAAATATTCTGCTGATGCTCAATTAATGTTGATCACCCCAAATCTCAACTGACTACACAGGTTCTCTTCTTTCTACATGTGTTAGAAATATTGTATTTTGTTGGATGGTTTTATCATAATTTGAGAGGCAATTTGCTGTACTAGTAATTAATCACCACAATCTTGATCAATTAATTGAGCAAATTATTATTATATTCCTTTGGTCCTAAATATAAGACCTATTTTATAGTATAAATTACACTGTAAAATGGATCTTATATTTAGAACTGAAAGAGTAGTATATAATTTATTAATTTTAGTGCAGTACTATGTATATCGATGAATTCTTAATTACATGTGCGTGTGAAGTTTTAACGGGTGCACAACTGCATATCATAATCAATTATCATTAATCGTCTGGTTATAGGACTTTTGATGACACAGTCAAATAGAGCCCCTTGACTAATCTTTCATGATTTCGGGAATTTCACTATAAAATAAGTATTTCGTTGGAAAGGTTTGATTTTGGTCCTTGAAAATTAGATTTGCTGTTCAATTTCTTTCCCTTGATGAGAAAAGTTAATCTAATTAATGACTACAGGAACTTTTCCTCGATGAAAATATGATTAATTAGTTGTTTAATATTCCACTGTAAAAGACCTACAAAGCAATTTAAATGTTACTTTATTCAAACCAAGACCTTTATCGAATGCATCATACTCTAACAATACGCTTTATCTGATAGCAATATGTCTTTAGTTGAAAGTTGTTTCCAGATGACAATGTGTTTTCATCTTTTGAAGTAGTTACTTTAGCACAGCCAGATAAGATAAATAGTTTCTTTGACTAACAAGTAATACTCTTCCGGTCTTTAATATAGGACCTAATTGTTGAGTTGATTTTGGTGCTAAATATAAGACTTATTTATCATATTTATAAATTTTTTCTAAATTACCCCATGGATACTCCCTCAACCATAATTAAATAGAAGAGGGAGGGAAGATATTAAGAAAAATGATTATGGTGTTTTAGGAAAAACATGTCATATTTTTTATTATTAACTAACTTACTAATTTCTTAATTTAATCAAATTAGTTAAATATATTTTATATTAAGGATCGAAGGAGTACTATATCAAGAACGTAATTCAATACATGCAGATTTACTACAAGTATTTTGAAGCTATGGGAATGACGACAACTCTCAAAGGACCACGTCAAACAGCTATTTTAGCCATATAATACTCCTCCGATATTTATATAAGACTATTTAATTAATTTGATTAGATAAATAGTTAACTATAATAAATATGACATGTTTTTCCTAAAATACCTTAATCATTTTTATTATATCCTCCCTCTTCTCATACTTGACTATGGTTGAGAGAATATCAATAAGGGTGATTTGAAAAAAAATAGATATAAGAAATAGGTCTTATATTTAGGACCAAAATTAGTTCCACAATTAAGTCCTATATTAAGGACCAGAAGAATAATAAGTTTTGGAGAGTATAGCATTTCTGTAAAACAATTTACAAATTTATAGGAGTCATTAATTTAAGTAATCTTTTCCTCAAATGCCACATAAAAAGACTTGGCCCATCTTAGAGCAAAGTTAATAATAAAAAGGATGATGGGTATTAATTAGAGGGAAAAAAATGAAAAGATAAAAAGAATTTAGACAAATTAAATTAGTGAAAGTTATTTTATTAGCATGTCTAAATTAGGTAATTTTATTTTGATTATAAAAAACATAAAGTGACTTATAATATAATACTCTTCCGGTCCTTAATATAATACCTATTTAAATAATTTGATTAGATTAAAGAAGTTAGATAAGTTAGTTAATTATAAGAAATATGACATGTTTTTCCTAAAATATCATAATCATCTTTTTAATATCCTCCCTCCCTTCTGCTTGATTATATTTGAGGGAGTATCATAGGAATAATTAAAAAAAATTGATAAATATAAAAAATAGGTTTTATATTTAGGACCAAAATTAATTCGACAATTAGATCCTATATTAAGGACCGGAGGAGTAGTATATAAAATGTAAAATTCAAACCCAGAGTTGGCATTTGTTCATTATTCGTGATGAATAAGAGTAAAAGAGTATAGAAAAGGTTTCTTAAGTTATTTGGTTAGGAAAATTAATTTCTACCAATATATATATGAAAAAAGATCTTGTTGAACGATGCATGGGTTGCTTCTTCAATTCTTCTATATATGATCTCTTTGCTTCGAAAGAGATTAGTTATTGCCTGTTGGTTGGGAATACTTTTAATATTAAAAAAAAAGAGTATTATAATATGGAGTGTATAGTATCCGGAGCAGTTAATTTCATGTTTCCAACACTGAAATTACTTGTTTTTGTCAAAAAATGATGATTGTGATGTTTCATCTCATGCGCAGTCAAAGCTACACTGGTAGAGAAAGTACGGAGAAATTTGTAGCACATCGAGAAATCCTAGTTGTGAGCAACGGTTTGGAGCGGTAATACAAATTCCAATCTTGCTATTTTTATAATCAAATTGGATGAGTAAATTTTGTGTGTGTGTACAGACACACACGACTCCACAGATCAGACATGCATATCCACCTTGAGTTTGGTGACTTCCAACTCTCCATTGGACATAATGTTAAAATCATTAAAGAATTATCATGTTTTTGCAGGAGAGAGGCAAGTTTGTCCCTTTTGTTGTGTGCGCGACACAACAGAGAGAGAGAGAGAGAGAGACAATGATTTTGCAATAATATATATGTGGGAGATGGAGTGAAAGTGAATATTATTAATGTGATGAGTGTATATATGAAAGCTTTTGCCCAATATGGAGGGTAGTGATGAGAGGAATGGGGAGAGAGAGGACAAAGGGAAAGAGCATGAAAAGACGACAAAATGGGCACCCAAATCCAAAGGAAACCTAAAAACATCATGGTAACTTCGAGATCATCAGCATCTTCCTCGATACGGTGGTGGTCGTACTTTAATTTGAGTATGAAAATTTTCCAACTCATTGCCTCCAAAAACCGATAAAGATCACTGCTCAAGAGGGCACGACAGCTGCTTATACATTAGTAATACGAAATAAAATAAGAAGTGTTTGAACATTACAGCTCCAACTAATTAATATCGGCTCTTACGAAAGTAGTGGAAGCGAATGAGAAGGATCGGAGGACATGGAGAAGGAAGCAGTTCTAACTTCTACTTCCAAGGAAGGAAGGATACCTGAGTGTGAGGAAAGCATTTGTGAGACATTCACGTACGTTGCAGGGCGCGTCAATAACTCCGAACCACTTTCGTTGCTTTGTCAGTATCTTTGGACCATAACATGATGATAAAATATACGTTACGTTGGTCCCTGTACGTAATTGATTGGATTGGTCGCCCCCCCGCTCCACTTCTTCCTTTTTTTAAGGATTTGAACGCTCTTTACTATTTCACTTCATCTCATTATTAAATAAACACTAACTAACAGCTCCTCCTAAATGGTTTTACTCACCGCTTAAATACATTTCATCCCAAGCTACATGCATGCCACTCCTAATAAATATATGCTGCTCATGTTCTGCACTTATTTATGTTTCTTCTGTAGAATATATACAAAGATTCTTAGATCTTATCAGAACTCTGGATACTCTACCAAGTCATTCAATTCCAAAACTGATGCGTCACAGGCTCCAATATAATTGGCCACTTGAGTCACTATTCTCTCCGAACGGTCGCATGCAAAAAGAAAATAGTAAATTTAGTCTTGAAGATAGGAGATATATGGAAATAAAAGTGGTATGCAAGAGAATATGTAAAGGACAGGATTATATATGAATAAACTAATATATGCATATAATTAATTTGGAAGAAACATGACTATATAAAAGGAAGAGAAGCATATATGTGGTGGCTGCAGCAGGAGCATGTGGGGAACTCAAATAGAAACTTCGCGGATGCAACCTCATAGTAATGAGGAAAGAGATCTGAGAATGGGATTGGTGGTGTTGGAAAGAAGGGATCTTATCGTTTGATAAACCGAGGAGCGTGTTTGGGGATAAAGTATGTTCTTCACTATTCATTTTATTCAAAACCCACAAAGACATATGCATCGCTACACCGACTCTCGTGCTGCCTTCTGTCCCTCACGCCCAACTACGTATGGCATCTACCTTCTCCAAATATTAATGTAACATTCATTCATTCATATATTCTACCACTAACCAATTAATATCAATATATGTATTCTCAACCTTATACATATATACGCATTGATCTGCACGTACGTACGTGCATGCTTCAACACTCATGATCCAATACTTGCCCAAATTATCGCTATATATATGTTCCTCGCCAATGATCACAAACAAGTAGATTTGATTCTTTTGAATTTAGGTGGGTAGGCTGAGTGAAAATAAAATAAAAAAGGAACAATTATTGAATCTCTAGATTGAGTGAGTGAGTGAGTTGGATGGGTGTACATAGATAGATAATATATTAATGAGTGAAACCAGTTGATGGAATTAGCTAGGATATTGTATACCACATGGACGAGGCAGGGTATGATCTGAGATTTATATGAATGATGCTTCTTTCTCTTTCAACATACATGTGTATACGGCAGCTTTCACTTTCCCTCTCTTGAATTTGGGTGATGAGATTGAAGGAAAAAGAGAGAGTGAGATTCCAAGGCGTCCTCATGAGTCCCCACGTTCTTTCACATGTTCTCAATCATTCTCAGATTCCGATCCCCCCCCCCCCAAAAAAAAAACCTTATTATATATATATATATATATATATATATGTATACTAACATAACAACGTCCATTTTATATCCAACCCCTATTCTTCATTTCAGGCTTCATTTTCAACTCCTTAATTGATTTCTCATCCATTCTCAATCTCTTCTAATTAACTGTCACATACAAACTTTTACATTGCAAATAAGTTAAATGCATTAAAAGATGAGATAAAACGCGTTTGACACTGATCACTTTTTGCTTTTGCCTCTTAAAGAGTAGTGAATGTCATCCGTTTCATTCACGAAATAAAGGA